CGCAATGTTTTGAATCGGAACAAATTCATTTTGGTCCCTTAACATAATTATTTACGATATTTCTTCATTCGGAACCACAGCTGCATTATTTTAATAATAAACAACATCAATTTACGTATATATACGTGATATAACAAGTTTTATTAATGTTTTCCAAATAAATCTCGTTAGACAGGAGCAAACGATCTGTCGCAACTTCGTATGGTTTTGAACTTTGAACTTACACTGTATCCAGTTTTGATGACGACCGTGAAAATAAGTTTGTTTTCGATTATCGACCGACATTTCATTGCCGATTATCGATAGTAAAAATCACTATCGATACCCAGCCCTAACTACGTACATGGAATTTTCAGAAATAAAACTAAAAAAATATCCCCAAATTTGTGATTATAATTAGCCTATAGGCCTACCTTTTAAGGTAAGAAGAATAGGTTTAAATTAATTAAATGGTAAAAATTATTTTCTGATACAATCCTCATTAACAAAAATGTGCCAGATATTCTTAACAAAAACAATTGAGACTGCGATGCAGTAATGACAGGTTTCACCGGTGCCCCGTTACCCTTGAACATATCGATGGCTGAGTATGCATATGTTATGTTACATGTCCATTTTTCTTGTTTCGAGAAAATCGCATTTTAAACTTTTGAAATTCCTATTTCAAATCAGGGAATTATGCGAACATGATGTACTTTATATATGTTATATATTGGTTGGTACTACACAAATCGAGATGATCATTTGAATGAAATTGGTTCCTGACTTCTGGCAAATTGGTTCCATGTGGACATATCGTTTATGCAAATTGAACTTTTAAAACAGGTCCACATTTTGATGGACATAATGCCACGTTAGTTATATTATATGCACAGGAATGAGTTTAATTTTAAGAAATATTGAGCTATTGTGTACTCTGTCATGTAATGACGCATTTTAAAGATAGGTTGCCAGGCAACGAAACATACGCCCACAGCGGCTAAATCGTCCGAGCGGTCGACAAGGGTTGCATATTTATTCCTTTGTAGGTAATTGGGGGCCTTTACAAGACAGTTCCATACAGATCCGATTATAATTTTTGCCGTTTGAGGGTTCACAAGGTTCTACAAATTGAAACAAGGATCTCAACTCTGGAAGTAATCTACAGAAATTGTTAAAATTTGACAGGCTTTTTCGTTTCACTAATCTAAATGATGCATATAAATTTCATACATATCGGACGATAACTTTCATCAATCGAGCATTAATAAGGTTGAACAAAGTGAAACTAGGGCAATAACTCTAGAAGTAATAAACGGAAATTCAATAGGATTCTTCTCTTTACAACTTTAAATGAGGCATATAAATTTCACACAGATCAGCAGATAACTTTTGATGTTAGAGCATTCACAAAGTTCAATAAAGTGAAACAAGGGCCATAACTCTAGACGTAATAAACAGAAATTTCTGAAATTCAAAGAGGTTCTTTGTTTCACTACTTTAAATAATGCATATAAATTTCAGAAAGATCGGATGATAACTTTAGGCGTTGGAGCGTTCACAAGGTTCAATAAAGTGAAACAAGGACCATAACTCTAGACGTAATAAACAGAAATTTCTGAAATTCAATAAGCTTCTTTGTTTCACTACTTTAAATAATGCATATAAATTTCAGAAAGATCGGATGATAACTTTAGGCGTTAGAGCGTTCACAAGGTTCAATAAAGTGAAACAAAGGCCATAACTCTAGACGTAATACACAGAAATTGCTGAAATTCAATAGGCTTCTTCGTTTCTCTAATTTAAATAATGCATATAAATTTCAGAAAGATAGGATGTTAACTTTTGGCATTAGAGCGTTCACAAGGTTAAACAAAGTGAAACAAAGGCCAGAACTCTAGAAGGAATAAACTGAAATTGCTGAAATTCAATAGGCCTCTCCGTTTCCCTAATTTAAATATTGCATATAAATTTCACAAAGATCGGATGTTAACTTTTGGCATTAGAGCGTTCACAAGGTTCAATAAAGTAAAACAAGGGCCATAACTCCAGATGTAACACACAGAAATTGCTGAAATTCAATAGGCTTCTTCGTTTCACTAATTTAAATAATGCATATAAATTTCAGAAAGATAGGATGATAACTTTTGGGGTTAAAGCGTTCACAAGGTTAAACAAAGTAAAACAAGGGCCATAACTCTAGAAGTAATAATCGGAAAATGCTGAAATTCAATAGGCTTCATCGTTTCCCTAATTTAAATATTGCATATAAATTTCACAAAGATCGGATGTTAACTTTTGGCATTAGAGCGTTCACAGGGTTCAACAAAGTGAAACAATGGCCATAACTCTAGATGTTATAAACGGAAATTATTGAAATTAAATAGACTCCTTCATCTCACTAATCTAAACAACATACATGTATATCCATTTTAAAACAATTGGATAACTTTTGGCGTTAGAGCGTTCACAAGAAATTGTGGACGGTGGACAGACGGACGGACGGACGCAACGGCAATATACGTCCACATTTCTATGTGAGCGTATACAAATACATTTACACAAACTTTAATGTTTAGACCCCTGACAGAGTGTTTTGTGTGCGATAAGTCCACTGGTTCCTGTTTAGTGTTAGGAGCTTTCAGTAGACAAAAGTTACATGTCCACAAATATCACTTTTGCATACTAAACTTTTGCTAAATGGGGAAATGTGCTATATGTTTTCATGGCAATAACATGATACTCTAATTAATCTGGACTAACAGCATTTACACAGTAGAAGGGCGCATGTTTATGCTATTCAAAAAGGTCAAAACATCATTTTGACCAAAACTGGACATGTAACATTTGCATACTCAGCCATCGATATGTCACTTCCGGTACCGATGAAACCGTTAAACAGGTTTCCATTTAAGCATTGCACACATCACATTAAAGGAGCTAAATCGCTAATATTTATGACCTAGAAATTGACCCAAATGGGTCGAAACGCATATACATTGTAATAATGTAATCTGATTGTATATAAACTGATTTACATTCAATTGTTTCCTTTTTGACTCTAATTTCAAATCAGTTATGTCCAGCGAAATACAGCATGTGTCTCAACCCTATAGCAATTTCTAGCGTCTGGTTATTCCAGTCTATTAAGCAGGCTCTCCAGTTGAATATGTCTAGCCTCGTTCTTTCTGGTCACTTGTTGCAAATGACGCTAAAACGCACTATGGTACACGATTCGTGTACCAATGGTAAAATGTTTATTTTGTCTTAAATTTTGGATATCAGAAGCCTTCCTTTTCCTGGTAAGATCACAACATCAATGTTGATTTGAATTGACAAATAATTCGTATTTTCAACGTGTAAGACTTTGGATGATATTGAGTTAGAGACTTAGCTACTTTAAATGCACGCAGAATCAACCAAATCCGGCAATATCAATTCATTGTATACATTCATTACATGTAAGTGATCCTGACAACATTACATTACTTCCGGTGATAATGAAAATGTTAAATTAGTTTCATGAAATCAGAAATAGCATAAGGCATCACTAATGAAAATTTTATGTAAATCGAATAATATTTGCCCCTTTTTATAATATAGACCAAAATCCTTGAAAAGTGACTTGTAGAAAATCGTCTATTTCTCTGCAACCGTACAAGTTAGAAACCATTTTTTGGTGGTTGTATGATCGTGTGGGTTCAATCTATTTGTTGATTGGAATCAAAAATCATAATTTTAAAAACAATACAAATCAGACTCATTTGAATAAAATATCTGTTTTGAAGGCTAAAAATATAATAGCCGCTGTTCGTGCAAGCTTAGCCAACACAGATATAATTAATTACGTAGTGAAGTTTTTAGTGACTTCACATCAAACTGTGCATATTTTACTTTTGAAATTTATGTGAAAGATCTGGTTTGTTGAGCCTTAATTATATTATACCTTACATCGTCCTAAAAATTGGAGAAAACTTGTCACTTCTTGGACAATGCCCAGTTTTCCAAACTGGGGTCTTTGTCTAAATTTTCTGACCCCCCGCTGGCCGTCCTATACATGTATGCACAATCTATGTCAGGAAAAGCTATTAGAACCTTGTTACGGATCAAATAAATCTGCTATATACTTTAAAGGAGATTGGTAATTATCAAGGATTGATTACTTTATAAATAATTAATTTGATTTTCTTGATACCAGTATAGACTTCATTTAGTAACAAGAGTCAAATTCTTTGTAAATGATAAAATAATGTACTTGTACCAGAATGTAGGTCGAATAAAGAATATATTAAGCCATGTCAGAATAAATTTTATTTTAATTATTGATTATATAAACATGTCTGTCTTCCATTAGTTTAGATAATATGTTTTTATAACCTAATTTATTAATATCATGTATAATTTACATGTGACATGTGTATCTCATTTTGAAGTTTTAATAAAACCCATGCAGTAGTTTTCATTCAGTCCTGAATCAATAAATTTAATTAGCAATATATGGTTTGTACTGATAAAAAAAATGAAATATTGATACATTTTCTGTGAATTGATTGTATGATTTGTATGGGCTTGTCTCTGTAGTAAGATACACCAACCACCAGGAATACTGGTCATGCTAATTCTACGATTAGTGTCATAGCAAGGTTTAAAAATAATCTACAATTAATCAAGTTCGGAAAAATCACACAGTATCACATTCACAAAATTTAAATCTTAAAGTATAGTCATGAATATTACTTCTGGTCTATTATCGAAAATATTTTGAATTTGGATGATGTTCTTCCTTTTGCCTCAATGCAAAATTCCTCCACAGACAGTAAAAATTTACATAAATTTTTTTGTATGAAGTTCACAAATAGAATTCTATTATGGATGTGAAGGTTTCTGTATTGTATTAAATAAATGGTTAGAAAACCCTTTTTCCTAGGACCCAAGTATATGGCATAGCTTCTATACTCATACACTTTGAGCCTTCAGTTTTACATGAAATGTGATTATTTTCTTTGTCTATATATTTACAGCTTGAGGATGATTATACAGGATATCCATTAGATATGTTTTGTATACCTAAACATTATGAGGATTCTTTAGAGCATGTTTTAATACCTGCTGGTTTAATTAACGACAGGTGAGATTTTATCTACTCTTTCAGGTAATAAATACATAGTTTACAAGTTCTTCTAATGTAGAAACTTGCATGCTTAAAAGTCCTTAAACGCCATTCCAGGTAATAAATACATAGTTTATAAGTTCTTCTAATTATGTAGAAACTTAAAGGGACAATAACACTCTTGCTGGCTTGACAGTTCCAGAAAATAAAAAATAGCCTTATTTTAAGTACTAGATGTGTTAGTGTCTTACTTGTTGTGTAAATTATCCATTAAATCCTATTTTACTTGTCTAGAGGGTTCAAAAATATTTTTAAATCCAAGTCACATTTGAAAAGCTTTTCAGGCTTTTCAAATCATTTAGTTGAATTTTTAAAATTTTTTAAATTAGGTATGTTAAGATGAAATTTGTATCATCAATTAATTGGAATATTGTAAAATAGTACAATTTGTTGACCAGAATAAAGATTGGGACATATTATTCAGTTACAACAAGAGTGGTATTGAGCCTTTAAATGTTGTCAGTTGTTCTAGAAATAATTAGCATTGTTTGTCTGCCACATGTACATTATCTGGCATGTCATTGCTAATATGTAGTTAAATTTTATTTAACTTACAGTATTCAGTGTCCACCTTTATAATTTCAGAATTGAACGATTAGCCAGAGATATTATACAAGACTTTAGAAATGAAGCATTAACTGGTTTATGTGTATTAAAGGGAGGTTATAAATTTTTCACAGATCTCTTAGATAAAATTAAAGCATTAAATCGTAATAGTGAAGAATCTGTTCCATTGGCTGTAGATTTTATTAGAGTCAAGAGTTATACGGTAAGTTTCTTTCAATGATAGAAATTTGCAATAAAGGAGTGGGATTATATATACTTTATTGTTATCCATGTGTATTTAACTTACAATGCATACTATTTATATCTGTATATATTTTTGGCAATGACAAACTCTTTGCTTTTCTGTTCTCTTAGGATTATTTATGCTACATTGTCCCATCTAAACTGACTAACGATCAACTTATACTTCTTTTTGTGGCCTAAGCTGCAATTACAAATGATACATGAAAATCAATGTTATTTCTAACTGTTAGTTGTCAGTTTGTGCAAAAGTCTTAGGTAAATTTTATTGCTGTGACAGTAGTAGTTTCTCAAGATATTTGTAAAAATGTAAACTTGAAATTGTTATGATAATTTTGGCACAGCCTGTTTCTCATGCATATTAATGTTTTAAAACTGTATTAAAACAGAATATTTTTCTTTTATATGGCTCCAAATTTGTGCACACATTGATTTCCTGGTAACAGTGTTACCATGATAATCAAACACAGTTTGGGTTTAAAATACATGTACATCAAATCATTTATAGATCAACATTTATGGATTGCGGTTTGATTTATATATATATATATATTTTTTTTCTCTTTTGATTGGCCAGGTTAGTTCAAATGAGAAGGTAATTTGTATTGTGCTTGTGATGTGTGATTAGTTTTAATTTATTTTGTATTGTAACAGTTTTAATTTATATTGCACTGATCAACTTGGAGCTTCAAACAAATTGTATTGAGATAAATTAACCTCCAGTTGATTGTTCCACTCAGTTACAGTACAGTTCAGTTGTTCTATACGTTCATGAACTGTAATTGTGTTCCGTTTCTTTGTTTTGTATATTTACATGAAAGAGAGAACTTGAGTGTAATGGAGCACATTTTATTAAGGTAAAAATTAATACACTATTAATAGTGTTAACTATAGGCCTTTAGTTTTAGTGCTGTTTGTAGTCATACATTTTGTATGATTCACAAACAAGACTTGCTAGTGTTTTAATACATTTTATCATGTTAATATTCTAATTCCATTTTATCGTATCAACATCATTATGTTTTTTTTTACTTCTTTTTTTTAACTAGCAGAGGCATTATCGAAGATCAGATAATGAGATGACAGTTCTTGCTATACTTATAAAAATAGATAATGTCAAGGATGCTGAAAATTTCAGTAGACTTCACTCTGAGCCGAGGAAACTGCATTTTAATAACACTGTATCCTAGTGTGTAGCCTCAATTGTCATTGTTGCCGTTGTTACGATAATAAACAAAGTCTCAATTATCCATTTTTACGGTTAATCATTAATTACCATTGAACTGCATATCTGATTCAAATCTGTTGAAAATCGGAGGCATCCGATGGCATCGAGAGTTGATTATGGTCTTGGTAAATTAATTAAGTTTTTATCTGATCTTTTTACCTTAAATATTTTTTTGTTTTTCATTTAAAATTGTTTTTATTGTATTTATTGTCTTCTGTATGCATGATGGTCCATACATCATTACATACTTGAGTAAAATCAAAATATACAAATTTACTGTTTATATTATGTTTGTTCTGGCTTAGTAAGCATGAGCAACTGTATCAGTTTTATTGGACTGGCTTCAGCCCGCACAGAAATTAATTCAGAATAATTATTATTTATATTGCTAAAGACATTAGATGATAGCTGCCCTTTAGGCATAGTCTTGTGTATTCAAGCTGTGTATTTGTGTTTGGAAAGCAACTTGAGTCAGGAAACTGAATGTCCCTGACTAACAAACCGGATACAAACTTCTAAGGATACATTGTAGAATTATTGGATTTAAATGATATTTTGTACAGGCCTGAAAATAAAGGTTTTAGTTGCATCTGATAAAATAACACACACTACTGAAATAGTACCTAACATTTTGTATGAGATATTTATTAATAGTATTAATAATAAACAGGGGAAAAAGACAAATCAGTACCAGACAAAATGACAGGCACCATCTTGAATTTGTGTCTGTCAGTCTGATAATATCTGTGAAAGTTGCCTTATTTCTATGTTTGATAAGTGTATGTTAATTTTGATTTATATCTATATGCTTTATAGAAGGATTACTACAATGTATTTGTGTTTAATGGAAATGGGGTCCTTACTAAGTAAATGGGGCTTATGGCTTCCATGTCAAATCTGTGTAAATTGTTTTTTTTATTTGAATGACCAAAAAAAAAACTTATTTAAAGAATGTCAGCTAATGTAAACTCAGTTACAGTATAGTTAAACCCATTTCATTTCATTACATTAAAATTTTAAGTTATGGTTTTATGAAGAATACACTAGTGTTTGTTGGGATCCATCAACCATACATACTGGGTTTCAGTATAATCCTGTAGAGATCCAGAGTCACTGTGGTTTGGTGTGTATGACATTGGCTCACTAATCAGAATGCTCCAGGTGTGATTTCCACTAGTCAGTTGTGCCACTGTCTGGGCAAAATTCCTGTCATAGCACAATCCATGCTGAATGCTTATCCTGTTTGGGGGAGATTTGTAGGATGTTAAACAACATTTTATTTTTGTCAAGATCCATGATAAGGTTGCTGTAATAATGAAAATCAGTTTTACCTAATGTTAAACTATGTTGTAATAGCTTCTTATTCCATATTTCTATTTAATAATTAGGATACAACCTCTGGTGATTTACAAGTTACTGGTATAGATAATCTGGATCATCTGACAGGGAAGGTGAGATAAGTCTATACCTATGAACATAAAACAAAATTTAGAATATTCTAGACACAGGTATGGTGGTGGTAATAAAGAGAGTTCTACTTTAATCACATAATAGCATTTTATTGTTGCTAAACTTGGTCTCCTGTTTCCTTCACTTAAACGTGCATTATGTAAGAGCTCCATCTGCCTTTTACTGGTCATTATTCTGGCTGCAGATGTTACATGAATTAATATGAACCAGCTTACAACACTGCTGCTATTTTCACGATAAAATAGATAATCTAGACTTGGTCAACTACCTTTTGTCAATTCTTCAAACATTCATGACTTCGCACAGAATAAATTTGATTGAAATTTTCAACATAATGCATACTTAATACAAAATAATCCAGAAATAGACAGATTCTAATATTTTGAACTTTGAACTATCCCAGGTCACATAATGTCTTGCAGAAACTGTGTTTTCTCTACTTCACTAAACAATCTAATATATTAAAGGCGAATAAGAACACTGCGTTTGAGGAATGTTTACTGTATTTTATTTCAGAATGTTTTAATTGTAGAAGATATAATAGATACTGGTAAAACAATGAAAAAATTATTAGAAGTTTTACAGAAACATAATCCTAAATCTATTAAAGTAGCAAGGTAAGTCGTGTATTTTCAACATACATTTAACTAAATGTTGCCTTGACAATGGTTATGATAGGCAAATGTTGTGAAGTTTATTTATTACTGTTGGAATGGATGTATAAATGTGTATTTGAAATTACACATGACCAACCATATGTCATTGTGATGAAGTTTTCCATTGTTTTTGTTGATGGTTAATTCAGTCAATTGCAGTGAAACATTTACATGGGTTGATCAAAGATTGCCTTTAAGACTGCATGTATTGAGCTTGTTTTTGTAACGCATGTTTAATTGGCAAGTTTCAACAAATGGGGATTTTAAATATGCAAACTGTTACACAGAATAGTTTATGTGTAGATATGAAACTCTCCACACTAAAACCATGAGTGTATTCGACAAAGTAATGAAAGATATAATTATACCAGAAAAGATATAGAAGGTTTTATCTTGAAATAAGTCCACTATATACAATAGACTTTGATTACCAGTAACAAAAAAATTGGGATATAAAATTATTTGATTGTGTGATCTATGACTCGAATGATAAAAAAAAAGCATTGTTATGTGTGATCTATTACACATATGATAAACAAAGGTATTTGTGATGTGTGATCTATGACACACATGATAAAAAAAGTATTGGTACAAAGAACAAATATTGTGACTGTAAATTTTTAAGAAAATTTTATTAGATCATGATTTGTATTTATAGTGTATTTTAAATAGTTGATTGTCTCATTGATTTAATTGATTTAATCCAGGAAATAACATTGATAAATGTGTCTTTAAACATTACTGGTACATAACCTTTTTATTGCCATAATGTAGTACTACTCAAGATATAATTTACACTTTGTTAATAGATATTACAACTACATAATTGATTGTCGTATTGATAAAAAAATAACTTTTGTGGATTAGAAACAAAAACACAGACTTTTCTTATAGAAAACAGCTACACTAGTGTATTTAAGGCGACGTTTCGATGAGTATTTTCTCAACGTTATCAAGTCGTGGGTTAGTAAGGGTGGGGAAGCGGTTTCTGTGTTAAGTGTCTGAAGAAGGAAAAATCAAAAGTATATATTTTGTTGAATTATCTCAATTCTTTAACCAATTGTCTTTGGTAAATGTCTTATCTACACTCCTACTCATAATGTATTTTTGATGGATCCCTGAGACAGTAGGCCTATAGTGTTATAATATTGTTGAACTATTAAAAACTGGCTTTTTATTCAGTGAAAGCGATAACAAAGCATTACAGTTGATATTTAGTTGTTGGAGCGATGGTGGCTAAGTGGGTAAGACACTGGCTTGCTAGCCTGGAGGTCGCAGGTTCACTCCCGGTGTTAGCCGAGAAAGTTCATCGAGGTTTTTCAGCATGGTTTCCCCATGTCAGTGGTGCAGAAACGGAGGTCCTGACAAGGACAGCTAGCTGTCTAGTCGTTCAGATGGGAATAAAAACTGAGTTCCTATGTGCACATTGGAGTGCACGTAAAAGATCCTTTGCTAGTTGAAATTCTATATAAGAGTATGCCGTAGCGCCGCTGTCCAGGCAAAATTTCCCTCATAGCACACTGTATGGCATATGCCTGTCTTCATTAGCCCTGTCCGAGCATGACAGTAGGACGTTACTCCCCATTTTATTATTTAGTTGTATGTAGTTAATTATTAAATGTTAGTATAATTTATTTATCATATGGTTTGTATTTATAGTTTATTAACAAAGAGAAGACCAGGAGATGGTGTATATAAACCAGACTGTAAGTATAGTTATGTTGTACGTGTATTATGAACTACATGTATATTGCCACCACAATTAGTGGTCCGAGACCTTAATGGGAGTGAACTCTTGTCAGGGTGCACCACACAGTCAAAATTTGCTCTATTAAAATCTGAACTCACCGCAGCGAATGTTCACACACAAATGTCAAGTTGCCAAGTGATTACAGGGCAGACACGGACTACATGCATAACCCGGAGTAGATTCTATTAGCCATGTGAAAATTTCTACACATCTATCAACTATTAAACCCATAAAAAATCTATTGTTAATGATTCTGAATAACAGTAATGTTTAGCTTTTTGGTCATTTTGTTTTTTAACTATACTGTTAAGATTGGCATCTTTTGGTTTCATATAATTAATATCTCCGAAGCTCCTTTGTTAGGCAACAATAAAATACTAGTAGTATTTTCTTTTTGCTTTTACATGGTTCTCAAAACGATTGTTTAGTTGCCTAATAAGATTTATGAATCTAGCTTTCTGATAATGTTTCATAGGAAAAAGTCCTGATTATCCTGGCCTGATAATTAGCCGAATAACGGTCGGTAGACTGGTTTAGCGGGCCAAAATCAAACCAAGGGCACGTTACCTGTTGTGCACTCAAAATGCTTGGATGTAATGGTTGCTTTTCGTTAACCTTTTCTATTTCTTTTATTGATGTTTTAATGGTTATAACTTGTTAAATACAACACAACCTTTTATTTACAAATGTAAGAAACTAAGTTAAAGATACATTAGTTAAGAGTTTTATAAAGAGTTGGCCATTCTTTATATAATAATTCAAAAATAGATGATAAAAAAAAGAAAATGTTGAAAATTTCAGTCAAATTACTTTGATCTAAACGGAATTGTCACTGTTAGAAGTTTGGACTAGAAATAGCCATCAATTGTGTCTTCACCGTCTATGAGAACTGGCGATCGTTTGATTGACAAACGATAACTCCACCCACATATTCTCGATTATCAAGTAACATGCTCAATGGCTATGGTAGCCTCACTTGGCAGGCTTTTCATCACCAGTTTCCGGTTGTGACATCAGCGAGTAACGGTAAACGTTAGCTTGGTCCGCCATTTATTGATTTAATTTTAAATGGGCGAGGCTGTTTAAATCCAAGCCATCCGTGGGTCTACAGAATTGATTTTAAGCTTGTCGTGTAAATAAAGGTCTAATTAATAGTTTCTATAACATCTGAAGCCCAAATAAAGACTTGCAATAGGCAGATTTAGCTCTTGCATAATGCATGTTTAAGGCTTGTTACACATATATGAATATTGTGATATAATTGTCGAAATATTTGGAGATATTTATTCATGGTGGGGCACCCTAGCTTTGTAAACCTTAAAGCACTCTGGATTCCTCACCCAGAACAATTGGTGTTATCTACAGCCTTTATATTTAGAGATATTCATAAAATTTTTTGATTAGTCATTATGAAGTGGTTCAGCTTGAAAAGACAATGATATACATGTATTCCCCGGCTTATCGTCCATAGTCGAGGATACAATTTTGTGGAACAAATGATTCATGACTTTGGACAGTCTTGATATATCCCGGACATTTGTAACACTATTAGTGATAACAGAAGATCAGTTTCTTAAATATAGGATATATTTACATCAGGAACAGGAACAGGAACATAAACACACAGAAACATAGTCAAACAGCAACTTAAAGTAGCTAAGTCTCTAACTCAATATCATCCAAAATCTTCAACATTGAAAACACAAATTATTTGTCAATTTAAAACAACATTGATGCTGTGATCTTACCGGAAAAAGATGGGCTTCTGATATCCAATATTTAAGACAAAATAAATATTTTACCATTGGTACACGAATCGTGTACCATAATGTGTTTCAGCACAAGTTCTAGCAAGAGACTCGAGGAACGAGGCTAGACATATTGCACCAAACCAAACGGCGTATGTAGACTGGAATAACCAGACGCTAGGAATTTGCATTCGATTGAGACTGCTGGCTTATTTCACGAAACATAACTGATTTGAAATTAGAGTAAAAACGGAAACGATTGAATGTAAATCAGTTTATATACATTCATATTACAGTATTATATGAGTTGCAACCCACTTGTGTCAATTTCTAGTTCCCAAATGTTAGCGATTTAGCTCCTTTAAATATATCAGGAACGTTAACCAAACAGGAACTTAAATACATCAGGAACATAAACAATTGAATTACATGAACACAGAACATTACTATATAATGACAACCATTCCGCCCTTCTACGGAAGTGGCTGAACTCGGGTGAGTCCATACGCTCGTCTCTGACACAGGGTCTAACATAACTTCGTATAGCTGACTGTGCAAATTCTTTTTAATAATATGTGTATATATGTAGTGAATATGTATATATGTAGTGGACAGTATAGCTTATATCGTAGATCGATAACGTGGGGTTCAATGGGTTCGCACATGTGGGGTTCAAATTGTTTCGATGCATCTAATTAAATATTTTACATGTATAAAATATAGTTTTAATATGATACAAGTTATAGAGCACTTTGTCAAACATGTCCATGATTGTAAAATGGTAAGCCGATGATTGCCATGATCAGCTACTGTAAAGTTTGTTGTCCAGATGCGTCATTTACTAAATATTTATTCTTTACTTCTTATGATATTGTCGCCTGTCCAACCTCGTGGGTTTTCTCCGGGTCCTCCGGTTTCCTCCCACTACTAAAGACCCCTATGCGCAAGCGAATTATTGAAATAAAATTAAACCATGTTAGTCCCGAAATGACCTAGTTTGTGTCGAGTGGACGTTAAACCCCATTTCTCTCTGTCTCTTATGATATTGCTTGCTGGCCATGAACCAATTGTATGTTTATTTCTTCTTTTATAAAATTACAGATTTAGGTTTCGAAGTACCAAATAAATTTGTTGTAGGATATGCTTTAGATTACAATGAATATTTCAGAGATTTAAGTGTAAGTATACTTTTACAGCTAATGAAAATTTGTAGCATTGGTGGGGTCCATTGGTAATTGAAGTCATAGCCACATCTTTTTTTTTCAATAAATAATCTTTCAGAAAATAAACTGTTATGATTTACACAGGAGTGGACAACAATGGTACATTCTACCCTAAGTTGACTTCTACAATTTTTGTCCAGATAACAATATTTTATGATATTTTTCTGGTGACCTTTGAACAAATAATTATTGAAAAGAAAATTCTAATCATAAGAGTGCCCTTTACAAAGAAATGTGATTTTAAAAAAGGCTTATTAGTCCCCATAAAAGGCACATTAGTTCCTATTACCTTATTGCTTACAAGGTGGATTCGATAATTCTAGAGATGTATTATGTAAGATGTAGATAAAGGTCTGGCCATTCTTGCTATTATAGTTTAAAAATAGATACTGAAAAATGAATATATTGAAAATTTCAGTCCAATTACTTATTCTGATCGATGTTATGAGTGTTTGAAGTTTTGACAAGATAGTTTCCCTTGTCAAGAACCATTGCTATGATGATAAACAAAGTCTTGATTATCCATTTTAACATTAAATTATTAAATGGTGAAGGTTTTCTAATCCATTCAATATGACAACTATCTGCTGATCTAGAGAGTTGATTGTGTGCTTTTTATGTGAATTAATGTCGAAATGATAATTTGAAGCCAAAAGAGAACTACAATAGGCAAATTTAGCTCTTATATAATACATCTTTAATTGTTGCTAATTTATTTTATCTCTTAGTCTTTTCTTTATTTTCATTTGGTGGACAAAATTTGGATGTTAAAATTATATGCAAAGTGAAATATTTTTAACTGAATTAGGTCCATGCTTTATTAAAGGATGTATATATTTATTTATTTCCAGCATATTTGTGTTATAAATCAAAGAGGTATAGAAAAATATACAAGTAAAAAATGAAGAGAGAGGCAGATATATATATTACAGATATAGGCAGACATAATTTCCTATTAATTTCAATATAGGCCATATAAAATAAATTGTATGAATTGATTCACGTGAAGGCCTGAATAACTAGTTGAGAAAACCCAACAAAATAAAAATATACATTGCAAAGATATTTTCAAAAAATGTTCTTACCTACATGTAACTTTTCTCCTTTTCAACAAAACAATTGTTTCAGAAATATTCAATAAATTTTAGACGGCTTTAAAAGTAGAATTATTGAAATGAATATATAAATATTAGAACTGGATTTTATATTAAACTGTTGTTATATATAGTATAAAATTTTATTTTTATTTTCACCTTTCTTAGTATATGATCATCTTTTAACTTTTATATATTTTTTGTCCCCTGCCAGGGGACTGTTAAAATGGGCCTGTCCGTCACACTTTTTGGGACACAAAAATTCTCCTTCTAATTGAGCTAGAATGTTCAAACTTTGTGTAGTGTTTGTTAGGTGAATTCCTTGATGGAGTTCGAAGATGAGCATTTTCTGTGTAGGGTAAGCAGAGATAAGCAATTTGATTGGTTGATGCTTTGGGACACGATAGCTTTAGTTCTAATTAAGTGAGAGTGATGAAACTTGGTGTATAGTTTCATTACATCATAACCATGACTAAGTTCGATAATGAGTATATTCTGTTCAGGGTAAGCAGAGCCATAAGCAATTTGATTGGTCAAAACTTTGGAACACATTAACTGTCATTCTAATTGAGGTAGAATGTTCAAACTTGGTGTAGGTGTTCTTTAGGTGAATGCCTTGATAGAGTTCGTCGATAAACATTTTCTACTTAGGGTACGCAGAGATAAGCAATTTGATTGGTTGACGCTTTGGGACAGGATAACTTTAGTTCTAATTAAGTGAGAGTGATGAAGCTTGGTGTATAGCTTACCTTGACTAAATTGGATAATGAGCATTTTCTTCTTAGGCTAAGTAGTGATAAGCAATTTGATTGGTCAAGAATTTGGAACATGACAACTCTGCTTTTAATTGAGGTAGAATGTTTCAACTTGATGTAGATGTTCATTGGGTGAATGTCTTGACTGAGTTTAGTGATTAACATTTCCCACTAAAGGTAAGCAGAGCTAAGCAATTTCATTGGTCGATGCTTTGGGACAAGATAACTGATTCTTACTGATGGAGAGTGATGAAACTTAGTGTATAGTTTCACTACCAGGTACTTCAAAACCTTGACTGAGTTTGATCTTGAACATTTTATGCTTAGACTAAGTATAGATAATCAGTTTGATTGCTCAATACTTTTGAAAAAAATAAATGTGCAATTAATCAATATGTGTCATCTATTTATTTTGGGATTTGAGCGGGGGACGTAAGCCTCACTGTTGGCTTGTTTGAATAGAAATTGCAGGTAAGGCGATATCATATCTAGCACAATGCGCAATATTTCTATTATATTTTGTTAGCTAGTATTTTATCATAACTAGAATTAACAGCATGTTTTATTGCACATGATGGCACTTAGCAGTTAGTAAACAGTTTTGGAAATTACAGTGAATCTAAGGGAAAATCATTTAATAGTGTGATGAAATTGTATCTTGATGAAATATCTTTCAATGGATTGTGCTAGTATTAAAGATGATTTGTTTGTTAGTTGGTTATTATTTCAAGGTGTTGGTATGTAGAGTTCACTTTGATTAATAGTTATTAATGTTCCATATCGATCTTCTGGTACTCAAACTTTGAGATCTTGTTAAAATATATTTTTAATTTGATGTGATTTAACTATACAGTTACTATATATTTAACTATACCAGCGCAACAGGGATGTTTAAATTAGATTGTGTGCTAAATGCGAGACAAATTGCTCATACAAAATGCATTACCCTGTGTAGGCCAGTGTTAGCTATTTTGAATGTTGAATATATCAGTATTACTATTATTAAAAATTATTTAAATTTATTTTAACCGTATTTAGCCTTTGGTACATATTCAGGTAAAGTATTTATAAGAATTTATATTGTATCTATATGCTACATATATGGTTACATAAACTTTTATCCATTTACATTATAGTCTATGCTTTATATCCAGTTCATTGTTATGTATCATGGTGGCAAGCTATATGATACAGTCTTTATGTATAAACTGTGATAAAAAAAAAATATCTATTATAGATATATTTCGTAGACCAAACTTCAATTTAGCACAGATTCTTACATTTTAATACAATTTCATTAAAGGGACAATAACACTCTTGCTGGCTTGACAGCTCCAGAAATTAAAAAATAGCCTTATTCTAAGTACTAGATGTGTTAGTGTCCTACCTGTTGTGTAAATTATCCATTAAATCCTATTTTACTTGTACAGAGGGTTCAAAAATATTTTTAAATCCTAGTCAAATTTGAAAAGCTTTACGCCAGGCTTTTCAAATCATTTAGTTGAATTTTTCCAATTTTTTAAATTAGGTGTGTTAAGATGAAATTTGTATCAATTAATTGGAATATTGTAAAATAGTACAATTTGTTGACCAGAATAAAGATTGGGAGATATTATTCAGTTACAACAAGAGTGGTATTGAGCCTTTTAAATACAGATCTATATTTTGTTTCGTTTTTTTTTACTTTCAATGGCCTCCACTACATGAAGCTCTTCCCTGTTGTTGTGGAAGGTTGCGTCAGACATTTGATTAACCAATCAGTGTTGATGTTTCTGTTGGATACCCACAAAACTCGCCGCAACAGACCGTTTTATTGGCTAATCACTCACATCAACCAGAATGTGGGTTATATAATAACTAGTGAAGTAAAGACAAGTAAAACAAAATTTTAAACTATAAAAAACAAAACGAAATAGGATCTGTGTTTTAATCAGATTGATTTCAATATTTACATTTATTGTGTCCATGTTATTTTTCTAAACATTACTTTATACTAATAGCATTGAGGTTTCTTCATCAAGCATTTTTAATTCTTGACTTTTGCATCATGATAGTAAATTTTATCATTTAGCAACTGTTATTCAGTTTTATATATGAATTGTATATTTCAACATGATTTTGTATGTAAACTATTTTCTAGAATAAAAGGTTGTTTTAATTATTTATTTGTCTAAGTCATGTATAATATGCCATTCAGTAGAACAAAGTCAATAATGGGAATATGAAGAAGTTTATATTTCCTTCTTTCTATAGGGTGGGGTTGGTTGAGTGGTTAACACGTGCAGCAGTAGATCATGATGTTGTACCATAGCAAGTCATGGGTTGGATTTTAGATTTGCATGTGACAAGGATTAGGATAAACGGCCCATCTTGTGTTTTTTGGCAGTGTCCTCCCACCTCTGAAGATTACTGTCCGCACACTTAATTATTGAAATAACAAAAATATACCATATTAGTCCGAAAATGACCTGCTTACTTTTGAATGGGTGTCGACCACATTTAATTAGCACTGTTTCTTGATCGGGTGCTAACTTTAGTCTAAAGAGCATCCACAAGTAATTGTGGACAACAGCCAGGGGTAATAATAACAATGTACACTGATCAGCTGTGAAACAGATTGTGTACAGCCATGTTTCATTGAGGACATATAAAAAGCACGCTGTTCATTAAGAAAGATTTCCACTGACTGTCCTTTAGATCTCTTGTATTACATATTAGTTAACTTACTTACTCACCATCATCCTTTCTTGCACGCTTTCCTACTAGCTTACATCATCGTTAATATTATTAAACTTAATAAACAGAGTTACCTCCCATTAATTCCAGTAAAACAGTTCGGCTGCAGGTACAGTCCAACATTGATTTTTGACTGTGTTAAACTAATAAATGATCTTGACCGTCATAAATCATGGCCTAAAACATTCACAGAGTTATGTTGGTTAATCTGATACCAAATATGTGGGGGTGGACCGCGGCAATGAAGTGTGATGGGCAAACATACATACATTTTTGATTTTATTTTTATACAAGAAGATTGAGGAAATCACGCACCTTGAACAATCATGTGAAAATCTATGATTCATAAAACAGCTACTCTAGGTCTGAATTCTGTGGGGTCTTCCTGTAACAAACCTGTAGTCCTAAACATTAGCTTAATTATGTGGCACTAGTGAATTAATGAACTAGTGTATTGATAGAGTGACTTGTCAATCTATGAAAATACAAGAACAAATTTGATTTTTTTACTACTTATTTATCACAGACAATAGATTTACATATAAATATTTACATACACACAATACATACAAATATATACATACACACAATACATACAAATATATACACACACACAATACATACAAATATTTTTTTTGTGGGGTCTTTTCGAGATCTTTGGGTTATAAACTTACACTTCAAGTTTCAACAAAATCGGATAAAAATTGTGACCTCTATAGTGTCCACAACCTTGATATACCACATTTTTACGCTACTTGAGTACGAGGGGCGGCCATTTTATTTTGTCTGTCAATTTTGGGCTGAATTTCATGAAATTCAAACTCAGCCGTCCTTAGGGTGTAACGGTCATATAATAATACGATTTTTTAAATCAGATAAAAATTATGATCCCTATTGGGTCATCAAGCTAAAAACGCGATTTTCCGTACAATCAGGGGCCATAATTCAGGGAGTTACGGTCCGATATGCGCGAATATCGAAAGGAACTGAGATCTTTGGGTTATAAACTAACATTTCAAGTTTCAACAAAATCGGATAAAAATTGTGGCCTCTACTGTGTTCACAAGCTAAAAACGTGATTTTTCGTACAATCAGGGGCCATAATCCATGAAGTTACAGTCCCATACATGCCAATATCGAAAGGAACCGAGATCTTAGGGTGATAAACCTATATTTCAAGTTTCGTTGAAATCGGATAAAAATTGTGACCTGTAGACTGTTCACAAACAATTGTGGACAGACGGACAGGGGTGGCGACAATATACGTCCACATATAAAAATAACTTGGGTGGTGGGGATGTAGTATATGCTTGTTCTGTGGATCATAGTCTGTTATTTATGCAAGTCATGGGTTCCATCCACGGCTTATACATGACAAGGGAAGGGATGCCAGTAACCTTTTGTGATTTCTCTTGGTACTCCAGTTTCCTCCCACTTCTAAAGACCCCTCATGCAAGCAAATTATTGAATAAAGATTAATTATATTATGTTAGTTCCGAAATGATCTAATTAGTGTTGTGTATAAACCCCATTTCTGTCTCTTTCTCATAAAAGTGAAGCGTGACTGTGATTGTTTGATAACACTAAGATTAGGTTTGATTCAACCAGTAAATTAAAGTGTCATATATACATACAATCTTTATACAGAAGTACTGTGTACAATTAAAATACAGATGTGATGTCACCCTTTGATTTTGGCATAGCATTATTTCAAATAATGTACGGGCAACGTGCTAATGTACATTATTTTTTACTAGATGAAATATAGGGCAGATGCAGGATATTGTCTGTATTTTAAGCTGTTTAATGGTCTCAAGCAAGACATTGCGTAATATATTGAAACAACACTTAGGCTAATGCCCCCGTGTAGGATTATTATATTACTCTCAACCATTAAACCACATGTATAGTTATAGTACGACCAAATTCTACATAACCCAATATAGCTGTAGGATTTATTGAATATTGAACATGATTTTTAAATTATACCCCAAATCCTTTTTTAGACATGATTTCTGTTTCCAAGAATGAACATCATAAAACAAAATTCATAAATTCTCAGCTTTTCAAATACTGTGCCATGTCGATCTATTAATAAAAGATGTCTAAGAAGTTATAACACAAAAATAAAATCAATCAGGAATGAATTAAAATGCCCTTTAAAATGTCTTGATATGTATGAATATGATAAGTGAAACTTGTTTAAACTGACCAGATTACAGTCCATTTCTCCATTAACAATAGTTTCATATAGTAAATAATATATTACATTTACTTTCAGAAATATTAGCAGTGTTCATATATATTAACAAATATTGGAGCAGACTTTTAATCTGGCCAGAATCAAAATGGGTGAAACCCTAACATTAAATAAATTTTGATTTGTCTTTGATGTAATGAGACACAACTACCGATGATTACCATGTGTTTTTTATATAAATAATGATGTCCATGAAATAAATGATTAACCCTGTTTAATGGCCGGATTAAGGTCAGCGAAATAGCTGTGTTGTAGTCCTTCATCTGCTGATATTCTACCATTTGGATAACAAACTAACAAACGCTACAAATAGATAGCAAAAAATGTTCATATCTTGACCTATTAAAGATAGGATCACATGCAGATTCTTATATTTGATCAATTTCAACAGTTTAGATGTTTTGATAATTTGACTCCACTGGTAAACTTTGCTGGACAGTGAAAAAATATTTTAAAATGATCTATAAAACATCAAATATATTAGGTTCATAAATAGCATTAGTTGTGCTGTAACTTGTGAAATTCCTATGTCATTAAAGGAGACGGTCCACTTATTTCTGTATTCTGTATAAATGAAATGAGGTTTAAGCTACTACTGTTCTGCTCAGATTGGGTTAATGAAGACAGACATATGCCATACAAGGTGCTTTTTGGGAAATTCTGCACGGACAGCGAGGGCCTTTCACGGCCAACACAGATAGCAAACCCAAGAGCTCCAGGTTAACGAGCCAGAGTCTTAATCGCAGCTCCCTGTATTTTGTACAACAATTGATAATGATTATAGGTACTAGAATCAACTTTTACAAATATAACACAAAATTAAAGATCATGTTCCTAATGTAACTAGTCGAATAAGAAAAGCGATTGTCAATTGCAAAGAGTAGAAACATGACTGATAGTTAAGTCTGACACACAAAATAAAAATAAATCTGATCGATTTACAGGGTTGTCATTTTTTAATGGGGGAAAATCCATTTTAGACCATAATATTCTACTATGAAGTCCTTCATGAGAAGTTATGCTAATGATATTCACACATTTTCCCATTAAAATTTTAACTAACAAGTCTTCCCTAGTGATTTATGTATTAAATCTGAACAGATATCTAATGGTATTGCTTATACCTTACCAAGTAGTGTCAATGTTGATTTAGATCGTAAGGTCTGTCAGTGAGTCAAGTGGTGTGGTTTTGATTCCCAGCTTATACGCAACTAGGAGTAGGGTCGCCTGTCTAACCTTGAGTATTTCCTCCCACTGCTAAAAAAACCTACATGCTAGCGAATTATTGAAATAAAATTAACTGTAAGTTAGTCCTGAAATGAACTAGTTTATGTCGAGTGGATGTTAAACCTCATTTCTCTCTCTTTAATGATGTACTTGGTTCAATAGATCTTTTTTTAACTACACGTAATGACCCAATGTAGAGACATTTTCACCCTTGAATCATATCAAATGTCTGACATTCTAATCAACTAACCTGTAAGAGATCACGACCTTTTCCGTTAAGTTGCGGTACTACTTGCTGCCATGTTGTTGTCACATGATACAAGGGAAAGGGCTGAAAAATAAATAAAAGTTGTTATAGAATATAATAAATTCCTTCCTACCTTCAGACTAAATTTCATTGCCTCATTAATTCAAAGACAATTAGGCAGTAAAATTGCTGTCTGGGTAAAATTTTCCTGATTACCCAATCTGATTAAAATACAGATCTATATTTAGTTTCGTTTTTTTTTATACTTTGGATGGCCTCTACTACACGAAGATCTGACCGGTTGTAGTGGAAGGAGGCATCAGAGGTCATACGAGCAGCTTTTGACCCTATGATGTCAGACATTTAATTAACCAATCAGCGTTGATATTTCTAGGAGAGTTCCATGTACCTCACACCAAAAACTCGCAGTAACAGACTGTTTAATTGGCCAATCCCTCACATCATCCATAACATGGGATATATAAGTCTTCCAGATCCTAGTGTAGTAAAGACAAGTAGAACAAAATTTTTAACTATAAAAAACGAAACGAAATAGGATCTGTCTTTTAATCAGATTGCTGATTACCAATTCATGTTGTTGGACTGTGAAATAAATTAACCATATATCAAATACAAATGACTGTACTTATTTCAGAAGAAGTTTGGTTTTCAGGTTAGCAATAGCTGACTTTTTCCCTCCAAGCACATGACATGCAGTGGTCATGGAATTTACTAACATAAAATTTGACTGTGACCTCATTTTTTGACTGCAAATTTTAAAAGAGTTTTTTAAAGGGGTTATGAGAGGTATATAAATCTATTCTTAGAAAATCCATTATGTTGTTTTTGGCTTAAAAGTTTTCATGCCATACTAATTTTACTAGGTTCTAAATGTGCCCAAGTACCTTAAAGGACAATATGTGTGTCAGTCATTATAACATATGTGATAGAACTGTTTAAACACATACCAATGTAATTCTAACTCAGAGATCATTACTACGATAGATGTGTAACAAAAATTTCGAAAAACGGACGTGATGCAAAAAATGGAAAACAAGAGTTATCCTTCTATATAACTGACTGAAGTAACGAGCGATAATAGATACACAGCCGAATTTATGCTCACAGATAATTCCTTCGAAGATGAATATTGTCCTTTAATTTTGGACACCCAGCTTGATGACAGAACAGAGACAGCTATGTGGTTACAAATTTGGCTAACAAACTACTTACCTTGTAGTCAGGTAATTGTGTTATACCTGGCCAGATTTCTTCAGTAGGTGTACCTAATAATCTAGTTTCATTAGTCAAGACAAAGTCAGTAACAATATAAAACTTTGAGGTATGTTAATACCAGATATAGTAGATAACAATTTTATTTAATTGATTTGGCTGACTTATAATGCTTAGGGGACTGCATAAAAGATTAACCAGTTATTCAAATGGGACCTAAAAACAAGGTCCTGTGAACAAAATGACCAAACCGCTAGCCTACTGAATTTGACAAAAGAGAATAACTGTAGCTTGTCACATGACCCTGAGAGTTGACAAATTTTAACGACAGGGGAAATCAAATAGCATCTATTTGTGGAATTACAGCAGATTAAAGAGAATAATAATACAGGTAGTTCTATAATAAATGGGGACCCGTGGTGACTCTGTGAGTAAGAGGCTGGTCTGCTAATCAGGAGGTCTATAGTTTGCTTCCAGTGTTGGCCGAGAAAGTTCCTTGGGATACATTCAATACGTTGCCATATTTATATTATTTCACAATGGAGTCAACTCACAACTGGCAGTGCATGTAAAAGATCTCTTGGCAGCTAGAGTTCCTATCGTTATTGGAACTAACAATTCTAATAATAAGAGTTATTATAACAATGATTACAATATATTCCTACAATATTTATCAAGGATACTTGAATATTCTCTTCAGCTGATCATCAACATCATTACCGGGAAATAATGGTCTACCAGCATTTGCTAATTCTACCAAAAAAAATTTACAAAAATAAACCAATTATTGATTTAGTCTTTGGTTTTCATACCACAACCACTGCAAACAAAACATGCTTTTACTAAGAAACATTACTTCTCTAAATTTTAAATGAATAAATTAAACTTCAACAGCTGTGTTGCTAAAGAGAATTTGAAACTTATTTTTAGCTGATTTAAATGTCAAATATTATTAAAAAAAATATATCATCATTAAAATATTGATGGATGTAAATATAAGAAAAGAATTTGAAATGTTGAACTTTATTGGGTTATAAAAATTATGCATCCTAAATCAAAATAATTTTGATTGATTCAATTCATCAATACAAGATCATTGATTGAACTTTACTATAGGTGACAAACCTGCAAATATACAGCCAGCAGACCACATATCTATACATGTTGAATACATCTTAGCACCAAATAGAACATCCGGTGGCCGATACCATAATGTAACAACCTAAATAAATAATAAATAGAACATCTGGTGGTCAATACCATAATGTAACAACCTAAATATATAATAAATACAACATTAGGTGGTCGATACCATAATGTAACAACCTAAATATATAATAAATAGAAGATCAGGTGGTCGATACCGTAATGTATCAGGTGGTTGATACCATAACATAACAACCTAAATATATAACAAATAGAATATCAGGTCGTCGATACTAACTGGCTGATCATACTTCAGATGGAATAAGAAAGGTATTCTTTACTTCTATATATATATAGTAGTCCATTACATACCTCCGAGGAATAAAATCTAACTGGAATACCAAATGCTCGGGCTAAACCAAAATCAGCTAGTTTTAATTCTCCATTCTAAAAAAAAACAAAAAAAAACAGGCCTACACTAAAGAAAATAGACATTCTTAATTAAATAATACAAAATTATCTGATAAAACAGTTTGCTCAGAATTCATCAGTTGTGTCAGAAAGTACATAATATATGTACATTCAGATCGGGAGAAAATGTACCCCTTTAAATCTGACCAAATTTGGTTAAATTGGAAAAAAATATGACACTTTTGCAATAAAGTTTGTAAAATAATCAAGACAAAACCGTAATAAGACTAAGAATTATCTTGGTACCCATTTGTAGTTTGTCTATTTATAGGAATTCCCTCTTTCTCTCCATCCACCAACTTTAATAGTTTTAATCAGATGATTGTGACATGTTGGGTTCTTAGTGATTATAAAGATTAAGAACATAGGTATGTTGAAGAAAATATTATAGGCCAAGGAATGTTACTGATTTAATACTGAGTCAATGGAGAGAGGATCACTAGTCTGAATCCAGTAACCACATGATAGAGTTATCCCCCTTATACAAAACTTGTTCCAATAAATTGACATCTGCTGGCCTGCACATTTTGCCTGTTCACCTCTGGCTTGAAAGAATGTAAGTTGTTTTTAACTTACCAACAAAAAAATAAGTGAAAAACTTGAATGACAATGAAAGGTTATGGACTGAGCAAAAAAGGCATGTCATGTCAGGTGATGCTTTCACTTCAGACAACTACTACTTGTAGCAATAACAAAAGGATCTAGGTTAAAGGGGCTAAATCGCTAATATTTGGGACCTACAAATTGACACAAATGGGTTGCAACGTATATAATAATGTTATATGAATGTAAATAAACTGATTTACATTCAATCGTTTTCACTCTAATTTCAAAGCAGTTATGTTCGGCGAAATACGCCAGAAGTCTTAATCCAATGACAATCTATAGCGTCTGGTTATTCCAGTCTACACCGATAGTATTTAGTGTGCATGCTCTCCAGATAAGAATATGGGGTCACCGTTTGACATGACTTGTGGAATATGTCTAACCTTGTTCTTCGAGTCGATTGTTACAAATTGCGCTGAAACGCATCATGGTACACGATTCGTGTACCAATCGTAAAATGTTTATTTTGTCTTAAATCTTGGATATCAGAAGCCCATCTTTTTCCGGTAAGATCACAACACCAATGTTGATTAAAATTGACAAATAATTCTTGTTTTCATTGTCAAAGGTTTTGGATGATATTGAGTTAGAGACTTAGCTACTCTAACTGGTTCCTTCCATTATCCAAATAAGTAACAAATAATTGAATTAATGTGCTTAATTAAAGAAGACTTTAAAAATAACTCCCGTTTTAAAAATTACAAAAATGAATCAACCAATTTCTGGACATCATTATGCCTATCTATCTAATGTCATTGAAAATCCTTATATTTACCTTATTAATAAGCAGGTTCTGAGGTTTTAGATCTCGATGAAGAACATTGTGACTATGACAGAAAGCTAAACCTCGCAATAACTGATACATAAATGACTGGAAAAAAAACCATTTAACATTAGAAACAAAAGTACAAGTGGGTTCATTCACCCTGAACAGGTTTGTTTAGGCTATCAATATCCATGCTGGTACGGTATTAATACAAAATGTCTCTAGATCTGCCAGTTGTTTGAGCCCAGCAACTTTCTTCAACAAACATTTTGTAATATGATCGTAGATAAAATGTCTTTTTATAAATGCTGATTATGGATTATCCAAATGATAATTGTCAGTAAATTTGCTTCTTATTACTACAAACTAAATATTGAATAGTGACATGCAATTAAAAGAAATTATTGTTAACTTCAAATGTCCATAAATAAGAGATAAGAAACATAATAATTTTTTGGAGTAATATTTTTAAAAATATTTATATAAAAGATTGAGATGAACTTGAATTAAAGATGAAGATGTACCTTAACAGCATCAGGGTCAATCTCTCCATTACAACTATCAAAATATTTCTTTAAATCTTGATCACAATATTCAAACACTAAAGTCAGTTTCTTCTCACTGTGTAACACATCATGTAATCTATATTAAACAAATTTAAATTATATATTTAGTTTCCTCACACTTGGAAATGCATGGAATCTCATAGTAGGATTTTTAGAGCAAACCAAAACACTGATGACAAATTCTTTTCAAGTGTATATTTAAATAAATTTAGTTACAGTTGAAGAGCTCTCACAAACAAAACACCCACTTGTTGGGCATTTTTTTAGTAAAAGGTTTATTTCAGGGCTGATACCCAGGCAAAGCTTGTTCTATGAATTTCACTTAACAAACTATTACTGTAACGAAATTGATACCTCAAAATCACTGTGGGTGAAATGGTGGAGTTAGACACATATATTACAGCGCAAGACGTGTCATCAAAAGTTGCAAATTCGTGACACCAGAACTGGGAGTTGAGTTTCATGTCCTTGCGTAAAGATACATCCATTTCTTTGTTCCAACCTAGCCAGTTGTTATTGGGAACAAATAAGATGGTTAATATGTAATTATAAAAAAAATTGGGGTTGGGGTTCTTTCTAAGACTTAAACAGGGATAGCAGATATCCAATGCACTGGTTGATTGGGGATATTTCTGGATAAATAAACTGTCTGATACATTATTTGTATGACATGAAAATTATTAGCTGTGTTCGGGAAAATATACATGTAAATGGCAATTACAGCTTGGAAAAAATAAAATACAGCATATGGATCTAGGTTATAGAAGATAAATTATATACAATATTGTCAACAATTTTGATATGAATTATAATATACTATTCAAAAAAAGTAGGGGATATTTGATTTTGGGGGCATAATACTAAAATATGCAAATGACTACGAAAAAAGTCACTATAGAACCTAACAGAAGAAACATTTCCAGTTACATGTGACGCCCAAACGCACCAATAGCTACCGCATGGAATGCAGGTGATGCTTGGGATCATCATGGGGGTCCAACCCAAGATTTGCACGACTCTGACTTTGAATGTTACAGTCATTGTGGCATTGAATTCCAGGGTGGAAACATCAGTTTAATTGTTTTAGTGACCAGAAAACAAATTTTGATATGCGTCGGCTTACCCAAAATGAAAGGTTACGTGCCCTTGGCATGCTACAGATCGGCACAACACAGGCGGTTGTGGCGCGGACGATGAATGTTTCTCAGTCTGTCATAAGCAGGCTATGGTCAAGATACCGTGATACACAATCTGTACAGGACAGACCACGCTCAGGTCGACCAAGGGCGACAACTCAAGCCCAGGATCGATTTATCCGTACCTTGGCCTTGAGAAATTGTGTCATCACAGCAAATCAGATCAGCGCTCGTCTTCAAACAGACACTGGTGTGAGAGTGAGTGGCCAGACGATTCGGAATCGACTGCATAGGGGTCACCTTCGCGCCCGACGTCCTCGCGTGATCCCTTGTTTGAGAAATCATCAAATTCAGGCAAGACGTCGTTGGTGTAGGGATCGTCAACACTGGGATAATCGACGCTGGAGCAATGTGATGTTTTCAGATGAGTCAAGGTTCACTGTTGATTTTTTGGAAAAACGTAGGATGGTGTGGCGTCGTCGAAACGAGCGCTTCCAAGACGTTAACGTCATCAGACATAATCGATTTGGGGGTGGTTCTGTTATGGTGTGGGGAGGCATCACTGTTGCTGGAAGAACGGCTTTACATGTTGTTGCAGGGTGAGTTACAGGCCAGTACTACCGGGACAACATCTTGGCAGTCCATGTTGTGCCGTTCGCACGACGTCATGGCCGCCGTTTCATCTTCCAGGATGACAACGCAAGGTGTCACAGGGCCAGGATCGTTACAGGTTACCTCCAACAACAGAACATCACCACATTACCTTGGCCAGCACTGAGTCCCGAACTCTCCCCCATCGAGCATGTCTGGGACATGCTTGGACAGAGGTTACGTCAACGTCAACAACGTCCTGCCAATGTCCAAGAACTTGCTGCTGCGTTGCAACAGGAATGGGACAATCTGGACCAAAATGACCTTAGACGTCTCATTAGGAGTATGCCACGTCGGATCAATGCTTGTTTGGCAAACAGAGGAGGATTTACCCGTTACTGACTTGGTTGTGATGCTGTGGTAACTTTGCTGTTTGACCCCGGGTATCATTTTACCCTTATAATGGTCAGTCTGTGCCTTACTTAGTCTAACGATCATTTGGAATAAATCGATGAATGTGAACTTCATTTCATTTTGTCATTTGTTTCTTCGTCAATTTCATTAGGTGACTTTAATAACACTTAAAAATCAAATATCCCCTACTTTTTTTGAATAGTATATATTCTTTTTTAATTTTTAAGTTTCAACAATTGCAGCAAATATATCTGTAAACAAAAGCGTTATGTTTATCTTAAAATTTATAAAAACACAAGTCCCAAATAGGGCCTGTTTCAAACATATGTCAAATTATCTCTTCTATGTCAAAAAATAAATTCAAAAACTCAATTCACTTGTTTGTTTTCACTGTCAGATTTCAACAAACAGACAAACAAAATATGCACAGTTTAGAGATAAATCAGATTTCTTTTTCACTAAAATAATAGAACAAGAACTATCATGTAAACCAATAAATTTTTATCAATATTGTGCTGCCACCAAAAATGCATGATTGATAACAAAATGTAGTAAGATTAAAAGTTGTGGACCATACATTCTTATACATGACAGAGAATGGAAATCATCAAAGACAGCATGAGAGAATGTGTGTCATGGTGTCATGATTCTCTATCTTAAAACGGTAAATGGAGAATATTTGAAACAATTTATCTAAAATACAAACCACTGTTTCTAGCCAGTTATTGAATTTATAACCTATAAAAATTATATTTTTGGTAGTTTAGACACATATGTTACACAACAGATTATAGCTCATAATCTTAAAGGAAATTATCTTTTAATTTATAAACTTATAACCCCAACCTGACTATATTAGTATGTTTTAATTCCTTTAGTAGACAAATTTCTCTCAATGCAGAACTTGGTACACCCTAAAAAAAAGAAAAAAAGAATTGATTTAATTATTTTGCTTTGATTTAAAGGACAATATTAGTATTAGCCATTATTACATATCTGACAAGTTAGAAAAAGTCTGTGCATTACCATGTTTTTATTAAGGACAGAATGAATAAAAACAAGTGACAGCCAATTATATTTTTGGATTGTCAGATATCCTCTTGCCGCCTCATATAACAACTTTTCATCTTCAACGGAGTTATCAGTGAAATGAAATTCAACAAGCTGTCTGTTATTGCTCGTTACTTCAGTTAGTTATATAGGACAACTCATGTTTGTCATATTTGTCATCACTTCCCATTTCTTCAAGTGTTTGTTACACATCTACCGTAGCAATTTTCTCTTGTTTTAAAATTATATTTGAAATGTGTTAACCAGTTCTGTCAAATATGTAATAATGGCTGACACCAAATTCAAATTTTCTTTATTCCGCACTTTATTCAGATTTCTGGGCTACCAATAAAAGATGTTGGCATATTATTACGCTCGAGCAGCATAGATCGAACTTTAACAATATTGTAGTTTGCAAGGAATTCTTATAGGGCTAAATGAGACATCAAGCCTTAACGTAACTTATCAATGAGACAAATTCAGGTACCTCATCATCATCATCCAGTCGTACTCTTTTTAGTGCTACAATTTCATGGGTTTCTCTATTTTTAGCTTTAAATACTGTTCCATAGGTACCTGAAATAAAGCATGTATACATTTAGATTTATAGTAATTTTGGTTAGTACAAAATGTTTGACTCTTTATCTGGCCTGGAGAGAATCAGAAAGATAGGGTTCTGTTTGAGTCAGGCTCTCTGGACTAACATATGGTACAATTTGATTTAAGTACGGTAATTTGATCGCTTGCATGTATGGTCTTTTGCTTTAGCAATGGAAGGAAACCGGGGACCCGGAGACAACCAACAAGCTTAGAATAGGCAGCTGACCCAACTCCTTCTGACATACAAGTGTGGGATCAAATTTATGCCTCTTGTGTAATGGACAGACCTGCGATCTAAATCACATGTTAAGTAAGAGTAGACAATTTGCCCCCCCCCCCCCTTTTTCACATATCATTTCATCTCTGACACATGTGTATAACTGAACTTACATCTATACTGTTCAAAAGCTCAATCTTTTATCCATTACCTTTCCAAAGATAGGTCTCCGACATTTCTACGACTTATGCTCAAGTCCTACAAATTGTTTAGGAACACTTTAAATTAGTAACCTTTTGGTTGTAGTTAAAGTGTCTTTGCATTACTTCAAAATTAAAAGTTACAGTACAGTGCAAATCTTTTATTTGAGGTGATGGCTATAATTCATAAACTGAAAGAAGTCATAATCTGAAAGGTCATTCCTGTGGATTGAGAATAACGTATTCTAACACGCTAACACAGATGTTTGAAGATACATGTATGTTATTCAATCAACATTTGGTTGATTCAGGGACTGAAGTCAGTAGCGGCAGTTATGTATCGAAACCAGTCAATTTGGACACACATGAAATAGAAATGTTTAGTAGAGTATTTATATCCAAAATCATTTGTTATACATAAAATTAATCATTTATTTTACACATCCCAATGTCTTTACATCGTGCTATATGTTACTACATTTTAATTGGTTGACTGATTTTCTAATTGCATTTTCACTTGTTAAAATCCAATGTAGCACGACGTAAAGACACTAAGGGGGCTAAAAAAATGATTGATTTATTGTATGTGCCACAAAGAAATATGGTCTAAAAATGTATTTTCCGTGTGCTTTAAAGACTGGTTGACGTCTATACATCAGTCCCTGCTATGCGACATATCAACGAAGGTGTGCTAGATTATTCAGTCTATAATAAATTATATGATTAGTTTATTACGAACATAGTACTGCTACTATTATGAACACGCAGGGGTGATATAGGTCTAGCCTGTTCCTCAACCCTATTCTTATTGAATAAAATATAAATATAGTATGGTACCCTAATCTTCGGTAGCATGATTTACCCAAATCACCCAAAACTACTATTATTTCAACTCATAATAATAATTTATATCTATATTTGATAAGATACTGTTCTTTATGCTAAATTGTGATTTTAATTTAAAATTATAATGTTTTTGTTTCAAAAATGACCCTCAAAATGCAATTTCAAAGCAAGTGATTTTGTGCAATACACAGGTATTGTCCTATGGTCACAATTACTTCCAAACTTGCTTGGAAATCGAATTTTGAGGGGCATTTTTGACACAAAAACTCTGTGACCTTCAATTAAAAATGACAATTTGGCATAAAGAACAGTATTTTAATGTATTTTATTAAATATCGATATAAATTATTGTAATCCATATGAGTTGAAATAATGGTGGATTTGGTTACAACTTCCAAACTTGCCTAAAAATTCGTATTTTGAGGGTCATTTTGACACAAAAACGTTACGATTGTAAATTAAAATTGACTATTTTTTGGCATGAACTATAAGAACTCTATATTAATAATATTATCAACTATCGATATAAATTTTTGTCTTTTAAGTTGAAATACATGTAATGGTGGATTTGGGTAGATTTGGATAAATCATGCTACCCCCCACCCCCTTAATCTTTGAACCAATGGTAGTGTCACTGTCACAGTGTGTGAAAGGGATGTGGTCATAAAGGCCCTATGCCATAACGCCAAAAACAGGTTTGGTCAAAACGGTTCTACTTTAGTCATAACAGCCAAACAGTTTGGTCATAACGGCCAAACAGTTTGATCATAGCGGCCAAACAGTTTGGTCATAACGGCCAATAAATTTGGTCATAATGACAAAAGACTTTAGTCATAACGGCCATAATTTTAAAATTTAATGAAAAACAATATTATTTAAACAAAACATCGATGTGGTGCTACATGTGAATTGTAATTCAAAGGAAGAGGTAAATGAAGATGCAATACCTGATATAGAAGTTAAAGGAGAAAGACATGTTTTCAACAACAAGGGAGTTGGCTTTGCTTGCTACACGTAAATCTGTGCGATTCATTTTTGATGGGACTTTAAAATCGTGAAAAAGCCCTTTTATCAACACTGTAAATTATGTATTTAGATGTATTATGTATGTGAAATATTATTGAAATAAATTTTATATTTTGTATGTTTTATACAATGTATTATATAATATATGTGAAATATTATAGTTTGTATTATGTTAAACGTCTATGTAAATTTACGTATTAAATTAATGTTTATGTAATGTATGCATTTATATTATGGTATTATCTATTATAGTATTATGTAATATTTATGTTAATAAATATCATTTCGTAACATGTAATAAATGGTATGTTTTTTTTGGCCGTTACGACCAATGTCTATGGCTGTTATGATCAATTTGTATGACCGTTATGACCAACTTTTTTGGCAGTTATGTATGACCAACTATTCTGGCCTTTATAGTTTAGGGCCGTTACGTCTGTAACCCGTGTGAATCTGTGACTGAGCATTTAATCAAACATAGTTATGAACTGTTCCTGACTATTCAGTCTATTCTGACTCTGAGTCTGAGTCTGATCGGATGATGTCCAATCAAAGACCGTTCCTAAAGGAACTAGGCTAGATACCCACCTTCGCCGATTTTTTCTAATTTTTCGTAGGCCTGCATTTTTTTTAAATAGACGCGATAGATCTAATAATGAAAGATTATATTTTAATTAAAGAGAGCAGTAGGCCCTATTTCTTCTAAAAAGAAAAACACAAACATCGAAGGGGGATAACTCTTGTCTATTGTTGGACTGGGCAAAATTTGGGAATTTGCAACAATAACGAAATGAAAGATAGTGGAATTAATAAAAATAAATAAATAGGAATCGATATACAAAGTTCAATATCTTAGTAATTATATTACATACATAAATAAAGTATTGTTCATACTTTGTGTTTTTATTTTACAACATTCTCTTTATGGACGTATCCCATAATCTTTTAATTTTCAGTTTCACCAATCTCGCAAACTCTCCCGAGATTTAAAATTAATGGCTGCGTTCTTGTAAAAATTTTAATCATTGTCTGACAATTTGATAGTAAGTGAAAATGCAGCAGCAGCCACCTCAACGATATCCATCCGGTCCACCACCTATGCGTCCTCCTTATTCTCAACCTAATTACCCACCGGTACGTATAACTTTACTCCTTCCCGTTCCCTGTGACATTTCACGATTTTTTGGTAAAAAACAGAAAACAAAGAATAGAAAAATTTAATCATTCACTATCATTATCAATAATAAATCAAGACTAGCAGATGAGATAGTCTTTGGTATTTCTTCATATTTGACACAAATATTTGTTTTTGTCTATCAGGTATCTTCAAAGTTTTTATTCATGGCTTGATTTATTGACCTAATTCCAACCGATACATTGAATATTGTCATTACATGTCATACTCGTCTCATATAGGCAGGGATACATGTCATAGCGATTCGGAATTGAGATTCTGTTGGAAAAAATAATATGTAACAGGCATTGCCCGAGTAGAGCGAAGCTGATTATTGTCAAATATAAAACCTTCATAATTAATTTTCTCAAGTGATACAAAAAATGTTAAATAATTTAGTTTTTCCAAATTGATTTTTATTTAGATCTAAATTGTATACATTAATTTTGTTTTTAAAAAAAGAACAAAAAAGTGTGAGAATTATTTTCATTGACGTCAAAAATAAGTGACGTCATTGATTAGACGCGTCATAGAAATAGTTCTATGTATGATGAGGCGGGTAATCTCGATTGGGCGAGATTTGGTAAGTTGACATGCGCATTGCCTGTTTTGCCCAGTGTATCAGGTTCCGGTCTGAATTTTTTTTAATCAACAGTCTGTGGGTGACAACTTCAGTTACGCTCCTGTGTTACCGGATAAGAGCTTCGTGCTATGCTTTAGAGCTTTGCTCTATATTATTAATGTGTTTCTTGGTGTATTCAGTGTTCTATCAGAGGATAATATTCAATTGAGATTTAAAATTAACAAACAACTGGTCAGTGAATCTAAAACCATTAAATGTATAATCTAATAATTATTTTAATCTACCTGAAATTCTTACCGATTGAGCGTCGAACACGGCGCGAATCCCAAGGTTCGCAAAGCCGGGAACGTCTTCAATTGCCATGTGGCTTATTTGCTCATAGAGCAACTTACTGGACCATTTATGAATAATGAGAATGATTTTATCCTTAAATGACATTTAGAAGTAGAGGTATAATATTCATAATAACACAACTTTATGGATTTACCACTTCTTGGTTTATAAAGATTAGTGTTGAAAATCGGATCAAGATTTGTGATCCGAATACTTTTGTTTGCTATCCGAATAATAGGATAATTCGGAAACGTGAAATTCTTGAACAAAATCACATCAAAAGTTTATATACTCATAATTTCTTACTTATTTCAATGTTAATAATAATAATAATGTATATTTGTAAAGCGCCAATCCATCCACAAATGCATGCTCTAGGCACGTACTATGTACTTTATGGTCACTATTTACACACAAATCCTGATCCACTCCAACTAAAACGCAGTGGTTAATAGATGAGTTTTTAATTTTGTTTTAAAAGATTCAAGTGATGGAGCTGTTTTAAGATGATGGGGTAAGGAATTCCACAAAAAGGGTTTATGAGTGTCTGTGTATGCCGAGTATGAAATCTTACTTTCGATTTGCAAATTGTTTGAGCCGCGAAGAAAAAAACGTGCCTACCTTTAGCCGCAATTATTAAGATTATCCATGATATCCCAAAAAATCAGTGAGGAGAATAAATTTGTGTATAACGACTCCTGTAATCCGCGGCCCTCCCACCTATCATTTTTGCTCAATCAACACGAATGAAAAAAGTAAAATAAAAACATCTAACATTTATTCCGCTAAGGTCGTTTGCCTCATTCTGATAATCTACTGCTATTGAACCAATCAGTAAGTGAGAATATACGTGACCTAGTTCGTTATGAATAAATTTCATTGCGGGAAGTCTAAACACAGTGTTAACTTGTATCCCGTAAACCCAAGAAGTAACTTCTATCTAGCGTAAACCAGCGCAAGGAATGAATGAATATTTTTTTATTTAGACTAATATTTTCGTTGCACTGCATTAATATTTTTATTAGTTACTATTGCTAAATAATACACGTGATATTAACATTTATGCTCAAAGCTGCGTACGTGATCAATAGCATTGGGGAAAATTTCAAAGTAATCAGATGTAAAAATGGCTAAATATAGAGCATACGGAAACATGCATTATGCAAGAGCTAAATCTGCCTATTTCAGGTCTTTCTTTAGGCCTGAAATGTTATCTAAATTATTAATTAGACATTAATTAACCTATCCAGGCCATAATCAACTCTAGATGGCTGCGCTAGCCTGCGATCTTTAGTGGATTGTAAGCCGATCTACTGCATAACTTTCCTTCTCATTAAACGATTAAATGGATAATCGAGACTATGCTGTTTATCATACTGACTTTAGTAATGATGACCGAGGCTTATGGGAATTTCAGTCGTTTAGTTCTCGGTTCATAGTGGATCAATTTGAATGAAATTTTCACCAAATTGCCTTCTACCTTATCTAGTTTTTAACTATTATAGTGAGAACTGCCAACTCGTTACCGAATCTCCCATAATGTATCTTTAATTAACTGCTGGGATGAAACAGCCCAGGATGAAACAGCCTGATAAAAAGATAGTTTGTGATGAAACAGCCCATGGTGAAACGGTCGTGGGAAGAACTGATACGCACTCATCACCCAATACTTTCAAATATTATTAACCCATACAATCAAAAAATCAATCCATTTCTGTAAAATAATGTGCCAATACTACCAAAAAATTAACTGCTGTTCTAATAACAAGGGGGATGAAACAGTCCGGGGATGAAACAGTCTGGGGATGAAACAGCCCGACAAAAAAATAGGTTGGGATGAAACCGCCCAAGGTGAAACGGTCGTGGGAAGAACTGATACGCACCCATCACCCAATACTTTCAAATATTATTAACCCATACGATCAAAAATCGATCCATTTCTGTAAAATAATGTGCCAATACTACCAAAGAATGAGAGAAAAGTACAATTAATTGAATAATAATGTTAGTTTGTGAAAAATAAATTACTTATTCAATGTATTTTGCAGTTCCATTTTGATTTATCACTGATACTATGATAGTATGAATAGATATATCAGATGACGTTCAATTTTTGTACTTTTTTCTGGAATTAACTGATTAATATTGATGTAAATGAAGAATTTTCTCAGTTTTGGATAAAAATAAGGTAGCATGTGGTTGTATTTTGTAGTATTCTGTTAGAATTTGGAGATATCTGGTTGGTCTTTCAGACGCTTGAGTTACTGGCTACTTATACTATTAAATAAACATTCCAGTTTATTGTAAAAAATTTCCTAATGCTGCCAATTAACTTTTTTTTATAATAATAATCTATTTATAAAGGGCTGAATATCCAACAAACTAGTTGCTCGGGAGCGCTAATTAAAGTGTAATTAAAGTATTTTGTCAATTTTTAACAATAATAAGGTAGTAAGCTTATTTAGTTAGTAAGCTTATTTAGTCAAAATATTTATTATGACGGTTGGGGTTGAATTTCGGGAACATCAAACTGAAACTCTATGGACGCTTACTGTACGCAAAGTGTGTAAGTACATTACATGTATGTAATATGTTACCAAGGTTGTTGCCCCATTAGAGGTCCCAATTTTTATCCGATTTTGATGAAACTTAAAATATATGTTTAGATCCAAATTGTTCTCTGTCCATCTCTTGCAATATGTAGGCGTATCTTGCTTGTTTCTTTAATAAAAAATACCTAAATCTAAAGATTTTGAACATGGTTTCAACTAATCAACACAATGAATTTAAAGTCTCATTCAATCATTGACGACCCTGAAAATTGCATGCTGATTTTCAAAGAAAGGCGTGAGTACTTATTAATCAACTAATTGGTTAATCCCTAATTAAGTAAGCCTACTGGAGGGTAGGGTGTTCTAGTAGTTTAACGCATGCACATGAAATCATAAGGTCTGTCATCGATTCAAGCGATTATTGAAATAAAATTGAACTATATGTTAGTCCCGAAATGACCTAGGATTCTTTCTGTGTCTAAGTTAGGCCTGATTATGTGTATGAGCTGAACCTTGATCCAAATTTTTTTGAGGTTTTGACTTACATGTAGATTTTATTGTGGGCCTAAGTTTTAGTCAATTTCTATTTTCATCAAAGAAAAAATAATATTTTGTCAAACATATTTTTAAGCAATAAATTATTATTTTATTATACATTTTAACCCAAATTGGCTGTTTTGACTGAAATAATGGCTGTTATTATGATCAGATTATTCAGATCCCACATTTCTGGCCACACTGTAGGTACTTTTCCGCAGAAAAGCACTGAATGATGAAAAATATGAAACATGTTTAACTAATTCCATACTGATATACTATTGCAGTAAATCAAGCGTCATCTCGACATTAACCAGGTCTTTTTGTTGAGTCTAACATAAAAGACATGGTCTTTAAAAGCGTATGGATGTTGAGTAGGGGAGTGGGGTAAATTGACTTGGGAACAGTGTTTCAGTTCATTTTCAAGCAGCCTAAAATATGTTTTTATGTTTGTGTAATCTGAACAAGCGTTTATGTAGTATGTTATTGCCTTGTTCTAAATCTATCTTGCTTTGTCCTGTGACAGATTCATGTATTCAGATTATTAAAATGTTTGACCATTGTACCATTCCTTAATTTAATGGTGATAAAGTCAGTGTATGCATCTTTTTCACTCACAGTCCACACCTTAATGCTGAGCAAATGCATTTAATTTGGTATATTTGAAACTTTACTTGATTGATCACAGTCAACATTTTTTTTAGGCTAGACATTAGATTCTTCTCTCCACTTCATTATTGTTGAAATGTATAATGTATTGTACAATGTGTATCACATTGTTGTCCCCAAGTGTGTCACTTCCCAAAAATAACACATGATATTCATAGATAAAAAATAAAACATTTTATTAGCAATTACAGAGAAAAAAAACTGTACTGTATCATAATTATTGTATAGATTAGATCAACATTATTTGCTCTGAAACATATACTTGCATTAGTATCCATGTAAAAGATACAAGAAAATAAATGTACAAAAAAATACAAAACATACACTAGAAATAAGCTTAAAGGGGAATTCTGTAAGATTTAGATAAAAAGCAGGCCGTTCTCGCTATAGTATTTCAAAAAAAGATATTGCTAAATGAATATATTGAAAATTTCATTCAAATTACTTTATTTTGGGCAAAGTTATCAATAGTTGTAGTTTTGACAGAATGTGTACATTGATCATAACCACCGTACTGGTCATTCAAGTCTTAGCTTTGCTTCTCCATTTTTAAATGAAATCATTACATGGCCGAACCATTCAAATCTATACTTAAAATCGGAGCCAACGATGGCATCAAGAGTTGATTATGGTCCTATGTTAATTAATAATTTATATACAGTTAAGGCCCAACGAAAGACCTGCAATAGGCAGATTTATCTCTTACATAATGCCTGTTTAATACAAAACATGCACTAAGGATTTATTAATACTAACAACAGTATTGTTGATCTGTTCTGTATGCACTTCTATAATCACTATTGCTGATATTAAGTACCGAAAACCTTTTATAAATTGATGCATTGGGAAATTTCCTTATCGTTGAGACTCGCTAATTTGAATCAGTAACTGAATGCTTACATTAGATATGGTATGTATTTGATAATATTATCCTAGTACTACTATGCAACTACATGTATCTGAAGCTCTGACATACTCTTTGACAAAATACAGTCTGACATACTCTTGACAAAATACAATCTGGCATACTCTGACAAAATACAATCTGACATACTCTTTATCAAAATACAATCTAACACTTTTTTGCGATATACAATCTAACATTTTGACTAAATATATACTGACACTTTTTGACAAAATACAATCTTTGTTAGTACCTGACAACCATGTCTACATATATAATGGTAAATGATCGTATGAATATTATGATTGTCTGGTAACTGATACAATTGAAATTCCTTTTATGGAAAGGCAAATGATACAGCTATCAGCCAGTACATACACACTATGTATAGTAAGGCATGTCATAGTCATAATCTGTTAAAAAATTTCAAGAACCTTTTAATCTTCTGAAATGTTCGGAATAAATGATAAGAAGAAGGGGCTTTATTCTTTTTCAAGTCTTATATAGGAAACAGTCAAACCCTATAATAATTGTCAAGCAAAATTTCGATACTTGGTATCTTATATAGGAAACAGTCAAACCCTATAATAATTGTCAAGCAAAATTTTGATACTTAGTAAAAATTAACATGAAATAATTATATACACACATGATTCATATATCAGTATAAGGCAGGTTGTATTATCATCACCAATGATGTAAAATGTTTTACCAGTTACATGTATTGTTGCTATTATCTTAATATTTTGTAATTAAAACGATTATAAAGACTGTGTCTAATTTTTGGGTTCTGTCATGGATACAAAGTCTTATCGCATTTATAGTTTGTGTTTGTTTGCAGAACCAGTCAATCCAGATTTTGAAATAATGGAGATTGGTTTGTGGTTTGCAAGTTCGACAATTAAAAACTCAATCACAAATAGTTGCTGAGTTCTATAAAAAAATTTCAAAGTTTATATTATTACGTTTGGTTAGTCTTATCTTAAAAGGCGAGGGCTCAAGGCCAAAAGAAAACTGACCGTTTCTGTCAATTTTTTCCCCATCTTTCAAGTGAAGTTCAACAAGGTAGCATTTCACTAAGGCTGTAACAAATAAAAACATTAAATCAAGAGTTATACTCGACCCTGGACACATTCGATGTCCTTTCCCAAAAACAATGAATGAGTTCAACATCTGGTACCTAATTAATTTATTATTTTCATCCAGGAATCTGTCGGGATAAAATTGTGTAGCTTCTGCCCATTGTTTAGAACTGTTCAAATTCTCCCAAAATCCCAGCATAATCATTGTTCCTGAAATAATATATAAAATTGAATGCATATTATTTTTTATATTATAAAACATTATTATTATATCTCTAAAAAGAATTAATATGAATATAACTTGCCAGGTGTTAGGGGTGCTTGAATTTGTGCCTTGAGATATTTAGATTTAGAAATGAAAAAAATGGAATGTGACATCCTACTTTTTCACACTGACTGGGATAATGAAGACGAGCATACGCCATACAGTGTGAAGTGAGGTAAAATTTTGCCCTACTTGCACTACAGCCTACTCTTGATTCATATTCCAACTGTCAAGGGTTCTTTTATGTGCACACCAATGTGTACATGGAACCTCGTTTTTTTTGTCCCATCCAAATGACTAGACACTGTTCCTTGTCAGACCCATTGTCTTGTACCACTGTCAAGTGGAAAGCACACCAGAAAATCCATAGGAACTTCCTGAGTCAACAACACTTGAAACGAACCTGAGACTTGCTGGTTCATGAACCGACATCTTTCTCACTGAAACACTGTGACTCCATTACATTTAGAAGAGGAAAGCAAAGACAATGGGAAAGTTCTGCATATATTTCCTTAACCTTTTAACTGTTTGATATATTTCATATATACGGATAATGTGTAATTCTCTGTACCTTTAGGGATGAAGTTATTGTCTATATGTATATCTGTAGATGTGCAGTGTGGTATACCAAGTACATTAGCTTGACAGACTCTCATTGTCTCTAATATAAAAGCACCTGCAAATAAAAGAGACTAAGTATTAAAATGTTCGGTAATTTAATTTGAATTATGAAACAGTATTGGCACTTAAAATTATATCAACAATTATAAAATATACATAAACTATTAAAGGAGACACAACAAAAGTGTGTTCACTATCTGGAACATGAGAAATGGTATCGGGTATTCATGAAACACTAAGCCCACCCAGTCTAAAATGTGATGCTCAATGTCAGTTAAAAGAGATTATCCCAGGTTTAGATACAGGATGGATTCATATACACTGACAAGTCTATAAATATATCCAAATACCTATATATACATGCAGAAAATAAAACTTACATGTATAAGGTAGCTGATGTTTTTGTTGTATATTAGGAAAGCTGTTTTCTTCTACAACAGTTTGTATATCATGGTAAATTCTGTTTTGCATCTGAGGGTGTAATCCAAGATTTAATAATGTCCATAGACAAAGACTCCGTACTGACTCTGACCCTATCACGATAATATAATATTTATTCATTTTCAACAGAAAAATCAAGTTGTTCAATGCCAACTATCATTATTGCATCCCTGTTATGATTTTTTATTTCCAATGTAAGCTTACATGTACATGTACATGAACATGTACAAGACACTAGGAAACAAAATTTGAATTTAAAAAACCAAGTGGAGTTATTGTGATTGCTATTATGTTTTTCTTGTAAATCAAATCTAATCATTGTTTTGTTTATCAATTTGAATTAAGCATGTATAATTACAGACTCGGGACTTTACAGCTCAGTGGACGCTTACAGATGCCCCTGGATCTATTCATTTGTTTCGATATTTGTTGTTAATATGTCTGTGTAGTTTGTCTTGTCTACAGGTTGAGTGCCACACTAATGGTACTTTTAAAGTAATACTTTGTCAAGCAAAAGATATGTGTAAATGCACCATACTTTATGCAAACCTTCCCGTAATTGATTTTGTATACCAAATTATGAGCCAATTTTGACTAACTGCAACTGCTGAGATTCATGATTACTTGATTCGCGGGCATGCAGAACTGTAATTTGACTAAAAATTCCTTACCGCAGATCTCCTAATAAAAATTATGAACATTTCTTAATTCAGCAAAGACAATATTTTTTGTTCCTACCTATATGTACTAATTATGTATGTAATGTATAAATACTGAATTTTTTGATCATATTTACCTGCTAAGAACACGGTCCATGCTGACATGATGAGATTTTGAATATCTTGTTTTTCATGGATGTCATGTTCAGTTAGTAATATATTAATGATATTTTCACAACGATTTTTATCTTCAGACTTTATTTTCTTACTCTCATAACATTTTCTTGTTATAATATTATTCCTATCCTACAAAACCAAAAGCAAATTAAATACTAGTACTAGTACTGAAAATGTAATTTTTCTGACTTGTATGTAGTTAATGACAAATCAACGTCATGGTGGAACTTTTAGAAATAAATGGATATATTATGGAGGGAAAAGTCACAGCTCTTAGCCAGTTAAATCTTATTGAAATGGTTGCATTTTCGATCCTCAGTTCTCGAATAAGATACTTATCCATGTCCCTAGTCTTAACAGCTGTAATTGGGTGCCATTAGAATGGTGTATGAACATACACAAAAAAACATGTTACATGTATATATATTCTTAACTTGTAACATGATTGAACCAACAGAAAGGACTCAGGGAGGTTATCAGTTATTACTAGGATCTTAGAAACCGGGATAAGCTCAGGCAATGTTGTGTCGGTTGCCCTTGGTGGTAAGGAATTAAACATTATGTACACATGTACATGTTAATGTCCTCAATTGTATCATGGGTCTGTCTGTCCATCACACTTTTTGGGGCACAATAACTCTGCTTCTAATTGAGCTAGAATATTCAAACTTGGTATAGGTGTTTATTAGGTGAATACCTTGAAGTTTGAAGATGAACATTTTCTGCTCATGGTATGCAGAGATAAGCAATTTGATTGGAACATGCTTTGGGACACGATAACTTTAGTTTCAATAATGGTGTATAGTTTCATTACATCAATACCTCGACTAAGTTCAATAATGAGCATATATATCAAATGGATTTTTTGAAATGGCATTCTTAAATTAATTTCATGGCGTCAACATCTTGTTTAAGGACTAGTTTAGTAGTTACCTCCCTTAGACTTTGTCTCTATGATAATGTAAAAGACCGGATAATCTAGCTGATGACCTATTATTCTCAAATTTTATGCTTAGACTAAGTATAGATAATCAGTTTGACTGATCAATACATTTAAAAAAGATAAATGTGCAATTAATCAATATGTGTCATGAAAATTTATTTTGGGATTTCAGCAGGGGACATCAACCTCACTGTTGACTTGTTTATCTTTGGATTATTGATTTTGTGCTGCAGATTTTGATAGGTCAATAGTCTTTTTTAGATAAAATTCATTAAATATATAACATTTCTTTTACACAAATATTACCTTAATACATTTGTAAAACTCCCTCAGCCATTTATTTGGAATCCACCAGAACATCGACATAATATTTAGCGGGTGAAAAGGACTAATATAGTTCATCACAGTTTTATGGTTGGATATAATAGTTTGTAATTCAGGATCATTAAAATCATTGTAATCAGAACCATAAACTAATGATGAAAACAAACTGCTGGTTAGTTCTATAATGGACTGTTTGGGATCAAAAGATTCACCTGCAGTTTCAGACATGCTGAAAAGTAAAAACCAAGTTGCAATTACATGTTGTTTAATGTCTGAAAGTGATTATCAAAGCATCTTTTATCTTAGATCATACATTAATCATACATTATGCAAGAGCTAAATCTGCCTATTGCAGGTCTTTCTTTAGGCCTGAAATGTTATCTAAATTATTAATTAGACATTAATTAACTTATCCAGACTATTATCAACTCTCATGCCATCGCTAGCCTGTGATATTTAGCAGATTGAAATATATTTTTTGAATGATGATTAAACGTAAAAATGGATAATCAGAGTTCGTTTTTTATCGTACCGACTTTAATAATTATGATCAAGGCTAGACTAAAATTCAAGAGCTAATACCTCAGTTCAGAGTGGAGCAATTTGACTGAAATTTTCAGCATATTCTATTTACATTATCAATTTTTATATGCTCACATTTTTATGTGGATGTATATTGTCGTTGTCTCTGTCCATCCGTCCGTCCACATTTTGTTTGTGAACACACTACAGGTCACAAATTTTATCTGATTTTGACGATACTTGAAATATAGGTCTATTTCCCAAAAATCTTGGTTCCTTTTGATATTGACATGTATAACTACATGGATTATGGCCTCTGATTGTTCGAAAAATCACATTTTTAGCTTGTGTTCACTCAAGAGGTCACAATTTTTATCTGATTGAAAAAAACGTTACACCCTAATGACGGCTGAGTTAGAATTTCGTAAAAATCGGACTAGAACTGCCAGACCAAATGGCCGCCATTCGTACGCAGATAGTGTAAATATATGGTATATCAAGGTTATGGAACCTCTAGAAGTCAAAATGTTGATCCGATTTTGATGAAACTTGAAGTATATCTTTATAACCCAAAGATCTTGGTTCTTGTCGATATTCGCGCATATCGGATTGTAACTTCCCAAATTATGGCCCTTGATGTTACGAAAAATTGCTTTTTGGTTAGCTTGTTCTCTATCCATCTCTTGCAAAATGTGGGCGTATCCTACCTGGCAGCCGCTGGTTTATTTCATTTAGGGATACAATTACTCATTAATTTTTATATGTAGTAGAAGGGTCTGGTGGCCATTTGCTTACCACTGGCTAAGGTGGTCTAATCCATTTAATATCTCGGCCATCAGGCGACCTAGGGAATTAATTATGTGATAAAAAAGACCTACAATAGGTAGATTTAGTTTTTTATATAATGCATCTTTATGAGTAAAAAATTACAAATGTTAAAAAAAGTATTTGTAATCATACCTTCTTAAGTATTGTTTCATTATTTTTTCAATCTTGTGTTGAGCAGAAGTGTTTCGAATTGTGTTTATGGCATTTACTATAAGATGTTTCTGTTTCTTAAAGTTTTCTCCGTAGGATGAAGAACCAATGCCATCTACATCTTTAGTCAAATATTTAAAAACGTTTAATGGCGGACGATCAGATGCATATCGGTCGAAGAATATTTTATTAATTAATCCGAGATCAGTTATATACACAATTCTATCTCTTAATCCCATTCGGACACTCAATATGCCGCCATATTTCAATGACAGTTTCTGGAAGGATCTGTGTGGTTGCTTAGGATCTATCTGATGAATGGAACCAATAACCGGTAAAGACCAGGGTCCAGGTGGCATGTGTAGCCAATAGTAACAGTAGACATCTTGGAACAAGGATATTATAAATAATATAATTATTGATGCTGTAAAAACACTACCCTGAAATTAAATGAATTTAAAATTGTACATTTGGCTAGATCAAAATTTCTTTATTGTTTTACTATCTTTTTCTCAAAAGGGGGGTTGGTTGACCGAATGGTTAGCACATGCTTGCTGTATCACAAAGTTTGTGATTGAGTCAACTGGCGTGGTTTCCATTTCCTGGTTGTACGTGACAAGGAGTAGGGTCACCTGTCCAACCTTGTGGGTTTTCTCCAGTCATCCAGTTTCCTCCCACTGCTAAAGACCCCTAAGCGCAAGCGAATTACTGAAATAAAATTGAACCGAAATGACCTAGTTTGTGTCGAGTGGACGTTAAACACCATTTCTCTCTCTCTCTCCTTTTCTTAAAAAGGCAGGAGGGGAAAAAATAACAGTAAATAGATTATTATACATGGATACATTAGAGTTTACCAGTGAGGTCCTATTAAAGTTCATCAGTATTTTGCACCCAGGTTTGCTCTTATAGGTGCTGCAGAAGAGAGAGTTTGGAAAGGAAAAGTTGATAGTCATTCAGAGGGTACGGAAAACCGAGATAAAAGAACCCTTGACAGTTGGAATTCTATGGATATTATTAGGATGTCAGCGGAAACCCCACTGTCTGGGCTATAATTATAGGCTAGAATTGTAATTAATTTTGTAAATTTATATACTAGATTGTTTACAATTATCAGATGGAGATGTCTACATAGAGATGCATTATGTAAGAATTAGATAAAGAGCTGACCGTTCTTGCTATAATAGTTAAAAAATAGATAATGAAAAATGAAAATATTAAAAATTTCAATCAAATTACTTTATCCTGTGTTCGAAGTTTTGACAATATGTAGCATTGATTGTATATTATTGTAGCAACGGTACTAGACAGTCGAGAGTAAGTCTCATATATCTGTTTTATGGTTAAACTCTTAAATGGTCACAGTGTTCTAATCTAGTGAAAATCTGAGTCATCTGATATGGGCTTGTCGTTTTAATAAATGTTTAAAATAAAAATTTATATAACATTTGAAGCCAGAAGGCCTGCTTAAGGTAGATTTAGCTCTTACATAATGCATCTATCAATTTTATCGATTTCTGATAACTTTCAGAGTTATTGCACTTGTTGAACTCAGTTGCTGTGTGGTCTTATATTCCTGTCTTGTAAAATATCAAGTGTTGTTTGTAGTGTCTATGTAATAAAGTACAGTGTTGTAAATAAATTTTAAGAAAAATAGTTCCATATTTTGGTCCTTAATTAATTTAACAATTAATGAAAATTTAGAACATAAAGTTATAATTTGATCTGTATTGACTTTATACATGTTCAGTGTTTAGATCGGGTAGAAAGTCACAAAAAGCATATCAAATTTCAGTGATTTAGAACTGTTATTGCATCACAAGTTATTGCCCTTGATCACCAATTGCAATTTTATAAATGATCTATTTTAGTATTTTATACGTGAAATTGTTAACTATGAAAGAATCTCAATGCAATTTCAGTGATTTAGAACTGTTATTGCATCAAAAGTTATTGCCCTTGATCACCAATTGCAATTTCATAAATGATCTATTTTAGTATTTTTAAGTGAATTATTTCTATGAAAGAATCGCAATGCAATTTCAGTAATTTAGAACTGTTAGTGCATGAAAAGTTATTGCCCTTGGTCACCAATTGCAATTTCATAAATGATCTATTTTAGTATTTTGTACATGTAATTGTTAACTATAAAAGAATCGCAAAGCAATTTCAGTGATTTGGAACTGTTATTGCATCACAAGTTATTGCCCTTGATCACCAATTGCAATTTCATAAATGATCTATTTTAGTATTTTGTACGTGAAATTGTTAACTATAAAAGAATCGCAATGCAATTTCAGTGATTTAGAACTGTTATTGCATCACAAGTTATTGCCCTTGATCACCAATTGCAATTTCATAAATGATCTATTTTAGTATTTTGTACGTGAAATTGTTAACTATAAAAGAATCGCAATGCAATTTCAGTGATTTACATGTAGAACTGTTATAGCATCACAAGTTATTGCTCTTGATGACCAATTAAAATTTAGTAAATGATCTATTTTGGTATTTTGTACATGTACATATAACTATTGTGAACTATAAAAGAATTGCAATGCAACAGGCTATGCCAGCTGCTTAGCAGATTAGTTGCCTGGCAACCAATTTTGTTTTATTGGAAAAATGTCTGAAGCTGACATTTGATTTGTAAAAAAAAAATATAAAAAAATATCAGCTTTTAAGGTCTACAAAACATTTATGTATTAACGAAAATTATTCAAATGAAAATTATGAAAACAAATTTGACATATATTAGATATATAAAAAACGAAAGTAAAAAAAAATCCCAAAAAACAAGACTTAGTGGGTGTGTATAAGATGAAGACTCCTTTTTTTTTTGTTGCTCATTTTTGATCAATGTACCTAAACATGTCTACACTACAAAGCAATTTCAGTGATTTAGAACTGATATTGCATCAAAAGTTATTGCCCTTGATCACCAATTGCAATTTCATAAATGAGCTATTTTAGTATTTTGTACATGAAATTGTTCTATGAAAGAATCGCAATGCAATTTCAGTAATTTAGAACTGTTAGTGCATGAAAAGTTATTGCCCTTGGTCACCAATTGCAATTTCATAAATGATCTATTTTAGTATTTTGTACATGTAATTGTTAACTATAAAAGAATCGCAAAGCAATTTCAGTGATTTAGAACTGTTATTGCATCACAAGTTATTGCTCTTGATCACCAATTGCAATTTCATAAATGATCTATTTTAGTATTTTGTACGTGAAATTGTTAACTATAAAAGAATCGCAAAGCAATTTCAGTGATTTAGAACTGTTATTGCATCAAAAGTTATTGCACTTGATCACCAATTGCAATTTCATAAATGATCTATTTCAGTATTTTGTACGTGAAATTGTTAACTATAAAAGAATCGCAATGCAATTTCAGTGATTTACATGTAGAACTGTTATTGCATCACAAGTTATTGCTCTTGATGACCAATTAAAATTGAGTAAATGATCTATTTTGGTATTTTGTACATGTACATATAACTATTGTGATCTATAAAAGAATTGCAATGCAACAGGCTATGCCAGCTGCTTAGTAGATTAGTTGCCTGGCAACCAATTTTATTTTATTGGAAAAATGTCTGAAGCTGACATTTGACTTGTAAAAAAAAATATAAAACAATATCAGCTTTTATGGTCTACAAAACATTTATGTATTAACGAGAATTTTTCAAATGAAAATTATGAAAACAAATTTGACATATATTAGATATATAAAAAACGAAAGTAAAAAAAACCCCCAAAAAACAAGACTTAGTGGGTGTGTATAAGACGAAGACTCCTTTTTTTTGTTGCTCATTTTTGATCAATGTACCTAAACATGTCTACACTACAAAGCATACTTTTAAAATTTTACCTCCTTGTACTTAGTGGAAAAAAAGGTTTGCCTGCTTACAAAACATTTTAAAAATTGTAACATCCTTTCTGAATTTATAATTGAACAGTGGACATATTGCTGTGCACTGATGATGAATAAGGAATCAAGATATTTGTATTAGTATGGAAAAAATTGTCTTATAAAATTATAAAAAGCTTACCATGTTTCCTTTTTTTTTTTTTAATGATATTAAAAATGAGTTTTTACTTTGAAAATAGCAAAGACAAAATGATGAAAATAGTATTAGTTATATTTCTTCCTTTGTAAATAAACACTATTTAGAATAGTGTGGTAAAATTTAGAAATTGTTCTGAATTTTAGAATAAAGGAAATCTTGGATGATGATCATCACTTTGTAAAAAAGAGATCAAATTGCAAAAATAATTATAAAATGTTTTAAAAATTGAATAAGATAGAATTAATGATAAAATATTGACTTAACATTATTTCTTTTGAAAAAAAGCTTTTTATGTTACAAAAATGTTTATGAAATTTAAAGAAATGAATGAAGTAGAATGAATAAAAAAATAAATAAAGACATTACCCAAGTTATAAGTTCCATGACAATAAACATCTATTCCTTTAAAATAATCTTTGATATATTTTTCTGTGTCACTGTATCTAGTACTACCAAAACAAAAATTATTTTTTCATGGTTATTCCCCACTGTCACAGGTCTAAATACACATTTTATTACATATTTACTTATATTAAGTATATTTTTTTTAGAAATTCAGATTTACCGAGCGCATAAATCACAATTTTAGATCTTCTTTCTTTTTTTTTAAAATTAAAATTTGGTCAGGAATAACACCAGGAATATATCTACAAGTAGATTAATTATTAATGTTATAGTTTCCAAGCACATACAATCAAATTTTATGATATTATTTAGATTGAACATTTCATTTGTTTCTTTTATTGTTTTGAATTGATATTTGGTCACCTAAGGAATAATGTCAAAAATATATGTAGATTAATTATTAATTTCATAGTTTCTTTAAATAAAAGTTTGTGTCATTTAATGTAATAATTTAATGACTGAAGTTTATTTTATTTTAAATAATAATTTTAGAAATTGACATTTTATGCAAAAATAGATGTAGGTAAAGGCTAAAAATAATTTTACTGTATACTTTATATTTCTCCACTAGTAACATTTAAACCAAATTTCCTTAAAATATATTTTTAAAATTTATTAGATAGATATTTCGTCTTTTCCTGTGTTAAGTTTGTCTGAAAGAAAATAATTTTCATCTACATGTTTATTTTAATAATTTAAGAAATAAAAATTTCACCCATTTTTAAGTTTGAATATTGTTAAAATAAAAAAATTTTCTCAATAAGGACATTTAATCAATTGACAGAATTAATAATATATCCATTTTAATTTATAAAAAAAATATTTGGAAATTTATTTTCACAATTTCTGAAATCTAAGATTTTATTGCAATCGTAATTTAATCCTGCACATAAACTAATTAATTAATTTATTCATTTCTGTACTGAATTTGTCTTTAGAATAAAATTAATAATTGAGAATACTTTGCTATTTGTGAAATAATTATTACTCCTAAACCAAATATAAAAATTTTGCTTAAGAAAAATAATTAAAAGTTGTCTCCATTCCCAATCAACAGCTTCAAGAGAAATAATTTTGGCACTTGTTATGAAATCATTTATATACCTTATTTGCCTTACCTTGCATGTTGTGGAGCTTGCTTTATGAATGAAGGACAAGGTTACATGTAGCACGTGCCTCCTCTATATTAGGTTATTGTGATAAGACAGTTATGAACTGGTCACGGTCTATTTGTTTTTTTTGTCAACTGCTTGAATAGGTTTAATGTCGTTGTGAACCAGGAAACTTCATTCAGATATTTGGATTGTTATGGTTTAACCCTTTCATTCTGACTGGTTTCACAAAATTGTTTTTAATTATTTTCTATTCTTTTTAGATATAAGTCATTTGGATAATCAGGCTAATCATTTATAGGGTGGAGGTCTGAGGTCTGTCATTTGGTCAAGCATTGTGGTATTTATCCCAGGCCTGTTTGTGACAAGTAGTAGGGACACCTACCCAATGGCATATATTTTTCTTTGGATTATCCAGTTTTCTCCAACTGCTTAACACGCCCTTGCGTAAGCAAAATTATTGAATAAAGATACAACACTAGTACCAAAATGACCTGGTCAGTGTTGACATAAGACTCCATGATTTTAGATATAATCCATTATGTTTTTTGAAATGCAAGTAATTTTGAATAATTTATGAAATTTTGAAATCCTATAGTCATTATCGTGGCCAGCCTTAAAAGAGTGGAGTAGAGTAGGTGCTAGAGAAAATAAGGTATTATTGGAGTGGGGAGTGGTTACTAACTTTGTGGGAGATAAACATATTTCTTCATGTTTTAGACTAAGATTTTGTTCATATGGAGTCTACAGGTCCCTGAACCAATCCCTGTTTTTTTCAAAATAAATGTTACTCCAATTTACTCGGCTGGTCCAAAATTTACTGGCTGTGTTTATATATTCATTAGACAGTAGTTGAATGTTTTGATTTGAAATTTTCACAGTTTGGTATTTGATGTTAATTTAAGATTCCTTTGTTTACAGTCTCTGTGAAAAGATTGGAATGTCAAATAGCTAAAAAAAAAGTAGTGTTGTACACTAATACTTTTAGGTCTGCACAAGTGTTTTGTATAATTTAGATTGATGATACAGCTAGTTTAATACGAGACACTGCCACTGGTAGGGAAAGGGTTAAGATGGATTGAATGACATTTCAAGGGTTTGTTTCAGATCATTTTTTCTTAAAAGGACACAGCATGATAAATGAAGTACATGTATCCTAAAAGCAGTTCAAGTTCAAGATCTTGTCCCAGAAAACAATTTTGAAGGATTGTCCAATAAACAGAAAGTAGGTCTGTCCAGAAAAGAGTTCTCAGTGTCAGATCACCCTCTTCATAACTTTATGACTAAAATCAAGAACAAACCACACAGGTAGAAGAGAAGACAATATTATCCTACATTCAAAACATTAGTCTATTTATTACCAGAACATAAGCCTTTTAGTACCAGTGTTTTAGATAAAGAGCTGGTTGTTCTTGACATAATAGTTCAAAATAGATATTGAAAAATGAATAAATTGAAAATTAATTTATTCTGAGGATGTAGGGTAGATTGTTTATTATTTAAGCAATGGTATTTGACAATCGAGACTAAGTCTTGATTATCAATTTTATTGTTAAATTTTTAAATATCCTGGGTGTTTTAATCCATTTAAATCCCAGCCATCTGATTCTCTAGCCAGTTGATTATAGGCTTGTCATGTTAATAAATGTCTGAATAATAGTTTATATAACATTTGAATTAAAGCCAAAATAATGACTAGCAAGAGGTAGATTTAGCTCTTACATAATGCATCTTTAGGTATTATACTACTTCAGGTTTATGTAAGCATGTTTCGTGTGCGGGAGATCCAAGAGGGTGCTGGGAGACACAGATTTTTAGATTACTTACTACATGATGGTTCATTAGTCAACTGGCAATATTTGAATTTAAGCCAAAATAAAGACCTGAAACAGGCAGATTCAGCTCTTACATAATGCATCTTTAAGTATTTATACAACTTCTGGTTTATGTAAGCATGTGGCGTGTGTAGGAGATCCAAGGGGGTGCTGGGGACACAGATTTTTAGATTGCTTACTAAAATATTGATATCCCTCTACCAAAAAAACCCCTAGGATCCTAGGTATTTTTTTAAAGTTTCTGGGTGTGGGAGGTGTAGGAGTAGTACATGATGATGGTCTTGATTCAACTGGCAGCGACTGGAATTTCAAGTTCATCAACAAAATTGTGATATTTTTTACTCCCGCACTACAGGTTCCTTATGTAGATTGTTCATTAGTGTATAACTTTGAGGAAGAGACCTATCGATTTTCAAAATGGGTAGATTGTATAATAATTATCTCTAATGTTTTTGTTTACAAAATTATATTGACTTTTTAGGTTTGCAAACTGAAAGATGGGTGATAGTGTCATGCCAGCAATGTCACAATTAATTTGTTTTGCTAGTTTGAAATTAGGCACAATTTAAAGTTATGTGCAATGTTCTAATTTGTTTTTAACAAATAATAATGATAAGAAAGTGTGTTAACTTTTAATCCATTCAACTGATATTCTAAAACAAATCCTAACCAGTTGTGTACTAGTTTAAACATATATCACATAGTATTTCATGTGATAATTCTAATAATAACAAAATGTCTTCACTACAGACAGTAAACATTCACTGATGTATGACAAGAACCTGGAGGGCTACACATGACAAAATGGCACATGTCTAGTGGGGTATTATGACATGTGCTGTAAGCTTATACTTCACCTTCTTTTGATAGGCCATTGTTAACCATATTTTGATCCAAAATGATTCAATTTTACGCCCATTCATTTGAATATAAATACACAGAAAAAATGTACTGGTTATTTCCCTATGTTAGCAGATTTTTCTTTCACATATATTAAAGATGCATTTCCATAAGTCAATACATAAGTATTGATTGGATAATATATTATAAGTATCAAGAAAAAAAATACTTGTTGGTAAATAACATGTCTTGTGAGATATTTCAGTGAATTACATTAGAAATAAAACAAATTTTAACGTGCGGTGGCACCATGATTTTCCAGTAAGCGGTGCAGGGGCTTTCCTCAGAAAATGTTTAAAAATTATTAGCAAATTTATAATTTAGAGTATCTGTTGGATAAGGAAAACAATCAACAGAAATGAATAGTTATATTTATTAAAACAATAAAAATGGTTAATTCTATGTGAAAGACTCTTAAGAAACATTTATTCTACTCATGTAAAACTGTGATACTTTTGAGATTAGTGATAAGTTCGCAAATACCACACTATCCCCAATTGCCTGAATAACTGTGTCCACACATTTTTCTAAACCTTTACTGCTTAGTGATTGCCACTATTATAAAGTCACTCATGTAATTGAAAGGTGAAAATTTGTTAAATGAGTTAAGCAACAGTTACATTAGGTAAATCTAGGGAGTGTTTCCTAACAGCTCATTAATTGTTGAAAGGCCTCCCTTTAAATAGGTTATGAGGTTTGGCCACATATTTTTATACGTCTACATTTTCGTCGCCCCCATCCGTCTGTCCAGTGTCCACATTTGCTTGTGGACGCTCTAGAGGCTAAAGTTGATATCCGATTGACTGTGTTTAAGGTCATGAGTTGAAGAAGCCTATTTCAACAATTTCTGATAATTCCTGTCAGAGTTATGGCTCTTGATAAGTTGGTCATTTGTATCTTGTGGAGGCTAAAGTTAATATCTGGTTGACTTTAAGGAGTTTACGGTCATGAGATGAAGAATCCTATTGATTTTCAAAGATTTCTGATAATTACTGTCAAAGTTATGGCCCGTGATCACTTTGTGGACGCTCTAGAGGCTAAAGTTGATATCAGATTGACTTTAAATTAATACACAGTATTTAAGGTCAAGAGACTAAGAAACCTATTGATTTTCAATGATTTCTGATAATTAATGCCAGATTTATGGCCCATGATCACTGACCAAAGTTATACATAGTGTTTACAGTCATGAGACGACGACACCAATATATTTTCAAGGATTTCTGATAATTACTGCCAGAGTTATGGCCCTTGATTACTCCGAAAAATCTTGCAGATGCTCTACAGGTGTATTGTGTCTTGTCCGTAGATTTGTTTTGGTTAAATCATGTGTGGTGCAGCCCCCCTGCACTTACTATTAATGAATTGTTACATTTAATCAGATTTTAATGTATTATAAATGTTTCATTAGCTGCTGTGGGCGTATGTTTCGTTGCCAGGCAACCTATCTTTTATCATTGGTAAAAATAAAGTTTGCTTGTCATGTATGACTAACTACTACTTATTGAATCCTGCCATGTGAGAAGTAAAAACGTGTTCAGTTACCACTTGCGATTATGTGTGTCAGCTACCTCACATGTCTGCTATCCAGTATTCAGATCAGTACACTCAAATTAATGGAGGGGACCCAGTACAAATGCTATCCAAATATAAGGTCATAATTTATCTACATTAACCACAGGTGACTAACCAGGCAATTTATTTCCTCTTTCACATTGAAAGAATAAATAAAAATGATTATAAAAAAAACTTATTTTGTAATAAATAAACCAGCAATAGTTATTTTGAATTAAGGTAAAAGATAACATGCAATATTATGGAAACTTTTGCAATTGGAAAAGTATTTGACATTTGAACATTTTATGTAAAACTTTGTAAGCTTATGAAAAATAGAGAATATTATCAAATGAATAAGCAGTTTGTTGGATTTTCATTAGAGTGATAATTAAATGAATGTAACAAGTGCCACAAAAAAAAGTGATTAAGAATTGACATTGTGTGATCAATAGGAATGTGAAAATTATTTTCCACATTCTGCGTGCATCATGTCCTGCACATGGCCAGGACTGGCATAATGGATAATGAAATGTAATCATTATTTTGAAGTAATGGTCGTGTAATGAGTAATGGAAGGTTTCAAGAGTAATGATTACATGAAATGTAATTAAACTAATTAATTACATTCCCAAAACCATGTAATGGTAAATTACTTTACAATTATATTTTATGGCACATATCAATATTTCCAAAGTTCTATGAAAAGCTACGGAAGTGTATAGGGGTCATGCAAAATTTTGTAGAAGACCTCGAGATCCTGTGGACTGATGATACTTGCTCCTAAAAATTCTCTCGAGATTCTCCCATCCTGTTTTAATGACCT